TACTGGTTAGTTGTAACATTCATGTCCTACTGGTTAGTTGTAACATTCATGTCCTACTGGTTAGTTGTAACATTCATGTCCTACTGGTTAGTTGTAATGTTCATGTCCTACTGGTTAGTTGTAACATTCATGTCCTACTGGTTAGTTGTAACACTCATGTCCTACTGGTTAGTTGTAACATTCATGTCCTACTGGTTAGTTGTAACATTCATGTCATACTGGGTAGTTGTAACAGTTTCATGTCCTACTGGTTAGTTATGTTCATGTCCTACTGGTTAGTTGTAACATTCATGTCCTACTGGTTAGTTGTAACAGTTTCATGTCCTACTGGTTAGTTGTAACATTCATGTCCTACTGGTTAGTTGTAATGTTCATGTCCTACTGGCTGTAACAGTTTCATGTCCTACTGGCTGTAACAGTTTCATGTCCTACTGGTTAGTTGTAATGTTCATGTCCTACTGGCTGTAACAGTTTCATGTCCTACTGGCTGTAACAGTTTCATGTCCTACTGGTTAGTTGTAACATTCATGTCCTACTGGTTAGTTGTAACATTCATGTCCTACTGGTTAGTTGTAATGTTCATGTCCTACTGGCTGTAACAGTTTCATGTCCTACTGGCTGTAACAGTTTCATGTCCTACTGGTTAGTTGTAACATTCATGTCCTACTGGTTAGTTGTAACATTCATGTCCTACTGGTTAGTTGTAACATTCATGTCCTACTGGTTAGTTGTAACATTCATGTCCTACTGGTTAGTTGTAATGTTCATGTCCTACTGGTTAGTTGTAACATTCATGTCCTACTGGTTAGTTGTAACACTCATGTCCTACTGGTTAGTTGTAACATTCATGTCCTACTGGTTAGTTGTAACATTCATGTCATACTGGGTAGTTGTAACAGTTTCATGTCCTACTGGTTAGTTGTAACAGTTTCATGTCCTACTGGTTAGTTGTAACATTCATGTCCTACTGGGTAGTTTTAACATTCATGTCCTACTGGTTAGTTGTAACATTCATTTCCTACTGGTTAGTTGTAACATTCATGTCCTACTGGGTAGTTGTAACAGCTTCATGTCCTACTGGTTAGTTGTAACATTCATGTCCTACTGGTTGGTTGTAACATTCATGTCCTACTGGTTAGTTGTAACATTCATGTCATACTGGGTAGTTGTAACAGTTTCATGTCCTACTGGTTAGTTGTAACAGTTTCATGTCCTACTGGTTAGTTGTAACATTCATGTCCTACTGGGTAGTTTTAACATTCATGTCCTACTGGTTAGTTGTAACATTCATTTCCTACTGGTTAGTTGTAACATTCATGTCCTACTGGGTAGTTGTAACAGCTTCATGTCCTACTGGTTAGTTGTAACATTCATGTCCTACTGGTTAGTTGTAACATTCATGTCCTACTGGTTAGTTGTAACATTCATGTCCTACTGGTTAGTTGTAACATTCATGTCCTACTGGTTAGTTGTAACATTCATGTCCTACTGGGTAGTTGTAACATTCATGTCCTACTGGTTAGTTGTAACATTTATGTCCTACTTGTTAGCTGTAACAGCTTCATGTCCTACTGGTTAGTTGTAACATTCATGTCCTACTGGGTAGTTGTAACATTCATGTCCTACTGGGTAGTTGTAACATTCATGTCCTACTGGTTAGTTGTAACATTCATGTCCTACTGGTTAGTTGTAACATTCATGTCCTACTGGTTAATTGTAATGTTCATGTCCTACTGGCTGTAACAGTTTCATGTCCTACTGGCTGTAACAGTTTCATGTCCTACTGGTTAGTTGTAACATTCATGTCCTACTGGTTAGTTGTAACATTCATGTCCTACTGGTTAGTTGTAACATTCATGTCCTACTGGGTAGTTGTAACATTCATGTCCTACTGGTTAGTTGTAACATTTATGTCCTACTGGTTAGTTGTAACATTCATGTCCTACTGGTTAGCTGTAACAGCTTCATGTCCTACTGGTTAGTTGTAACATTCATGTCCTACTGGTTAGTTGTAACATTCATGTCCTACTGGTTAGTTGTAACACTCATGTCCTACTGGTTAGTTGTAACATGTCCTACTGGTTAGCTGTAACAGCTTCATGTCCTACTGGTTAGTTGTAACATTCATGTCCTACTGGTTAGTTGTAACATTCGTGTCCTACTGGTTGTAACAGTTTCAAGTCCTACTGGTTAGTTGTAACATTCATGTCCTACTGGTTAGTTGTAACATTCATGTCCTACTGGTTAGTTGTAACACTCATGTCCTACTGGTTAGTTGTAACATTCATGTCCTACTGGTTAGTTGTAACATTCGTGTCCTACTGGCTGTAACAGTTTCATGTCCTACTGGTTAGTTGTAACATTCATGTCCTACTGGTTAGTTGTAACATTCGTGTCCTACTGGTTGTAACAGTTTCATGTCCTACTGGTTAGTTGTAACATTCATGTCCTACTGGTTAGTTGTAACATTCATGTCCTACTGGTTAGTTGTAACACTCATGTCTTACTGGTTAGCTGTAACAGCTTCATGTTAGTTGTAATATTAATGTCCTACTTGTTAGTTGTAACCTAGTTCCATGGCCATAATGGCCCAAATTCCTCTAGTGCACCAATTAAAAAACCAGATTGGCCTAAAGTCCTGTAGTGCACCAATTTAAAAACCAGATTGGCCTAAAGTCCTCTAGTGCACCAATTTAAAAACCAGATTGTGATAAAGTCCTCTTGTGCACCAATTTAAAAACCAGATTGGCCTAAAGTCCTCTAGTGCACCAGTTTAAAAACTAGATTGGCCTAAAGTCCTCTAGTGCACCAATTTAAAAACCAGATTGTGATGAAGTCCTCTAGTGCACCAATTTAAAAACCAGATTGTGATAAAGTCCTCTAGTGCACCAATTTTAAAACCAGATTAGCCTAAAGTCCTCTAGTGCACCAATTTAAAAACCAGATTAGCCTAAAGTCCTCTAGTGCACCAGTTTAAAAACTAGATTGTGATGAAGTCCTCTAGTGCACCAGTTTAAAAACCAGATTGTGATAAAGTCCTCTAGTGCACCAATTTAAAAACCAGATTGTGATAAAGTCCTCTAGTGCACCAATTTTAAAACCAGATTAGCCTAAAGTCCTCTAGTGCACCAATTTAAAAACCAGATTAGCCTAAAGTCCTCTAGTGCACCAGTTTAAAAACTAGATTGGCCTAAAGTCCTCTAGTGCACCAATTTAAAAACCAGATTAGCCTAAAGTCCTCTAGTGAACCAATTTAAAAACCAGATTAGCCTAAAGTCCTCTAGTGCACCAGTTTAAAAACCAGATTGTGATGAAGTCCTCTAGTGCACCAATTTAAAAACCAGATTGCTGATGTGATAAGAGTTTCTCAGCCACTTGTCACTGACAACAAGTTCAAGTAACGACAAGAGGTCAATTTAGTTTCACTTGTAAATCAGCTGATTCTACTTGATACTTGCTCCACTACTTGAGCTACTAGCACTGGCTTACTGCGTGATTAGCACCCGATAGTGCATAAGCTCAGCCCTTGGGTCAGATTAATACATTTAAGGGGGGGGGGGGGGGGGTCAACAGCTTCTTATTGAGAAAAAACAAACACCGGGGAAATGTCCTACAAAATATTTTTGTCTACTTTACAGTTTTGTAATCGGGTAAAATTTGAAAAAGAATACTACAGGAAACTTTTACCTGGTACAAAATCTGAGGTAAAAGTGTGGAGCTAACAATATAGACCATTAGAGCTGTAGTACGTTATAACTAGTTACTTTTTTAAAAATAACAGCCTATAGGACTATAGGAAATGGCCAAGGACTCGGGTACTTTTTAAAAATTAAAACGATTTGTCAAATATTAACTAGTACAACGGTTATTTTTGACGTCCGTACAGCTTTGATCTGATTGTGTGTGTTTTTTAAAATAATTATTATAACTTCATTTTATTTGCAGGAAATGTAAAAATCGTTATGAAAATGGGAAAATTATTTTTTTAATTGGTTGTTGACAGAGGCCAATAACTGATCAGGAGCTGATTTTTTTTAGATCATAATAAGCACACCCATCATAACATCATGGTATTATAAGCACACCCATCAGAACATCATGGTATTATAATTATATGTTATTGAAAATGCAACTGGTTGTTTAGGCATATAGACCTATGCATTGACAGCATAGAAACAATTTTTTGTGTGATGTAACTCAGGTCACTAAACCAGGTGACGAATGAGATATATGTTACCACACGCACGAGATAGTCACAAGCACATTCAACGCCAACACATGAACACCATAGCAACACAATCACTAGATGGTGACAGTCACTGTTAAATCACCCTCCGTGTTTCGGGGGGGGGGGGGGGTTATGAACGCACATCAGGCATTATTTTAATAAATTTAAAATACACTGGATTGCACAGAACGCTCGGTAACTCAACATGTTGTCTCAAGTTGTCTACAGTAACACCAGCACCGCGTATGGTAGTAACACGGAAACTTGGGGAATTCCATTATATGGAAACTTTAGATGCATTGATAACATGGCCTGAGAAATGTAATCTTATGTAATCAGTGACCCAAATGAATTAGGTAGGTTCAGCTTAGGTCAGAGACCTTGTCTGATATCTCTCGAGTCACTATATAGTCTTTATATATATATATATATATATATATATATATATATATATATATATATATATATATATATATATATATATATATATAAAGAGAGAGAGAGAGAGAGAGAGAGAGAGAGAGAGAGAGACTATATATATATATATGTGTGTGTTTGAAAGTTATAATATAGACCGACGAGATAGTTGTATGGATTGTTAGGTTATGATTTTAAAAAGTATAACGCGTGTAACAAAGACCAAGAGATATGTTGCTGAGGATATAGACAAAAACAAAACACCACTCGACCTTTAGACAGTACAACAATGAACTGGTTTACTTTCAATTGTTTACACTTTAACTCTTGTTTTACGAGCTCGTTAATAAAAGTTTCTCTACAAATCCAGCTGACTTGTGCAACGTTCTTTGTTTTCGGACAACTTGAGATGTTCATTTCACTTTCAATCTCATCTATTGAGTCGTTTTTTTTACATTGGTTATCTAGATACATTGTAAGGACAATAGCGTTATCAGTTGAACTAAAAGTTTATCAACCGTTGATTAAAAGCCAGTTTATCACTTTCACCTAATTTGAATTAGCCTGCCTGGTACATGCAGACGTCATACCAAAATTCAATCAGCTGAGAGCAGTTGAGAATTTTCAATGGCAGTGGTCAAAAGTAGCTGGATACTAGCTGGAAGGAGTCAGTGATGGGGGTGGGTATTTACTTATATATACATACATACATACATACATATATATATATATATATATATATATATATATATATATATATATATATATATATATATATATATATATATATCCTATTTTTATATATATGTGTGTATATAGACCTAGATATGTTTATGCCTATGCATATATGCGTGATATATAGAGCTTTTATATTTCCATATTTCCATATTTTTACTTTCCACTTAATTAATGTATCCATATGTGATAAAAGGCTACAAGATTAAATTCAATCGTTACAGACTATGTGTACGAAACTAAAATCCAGAAAATTACAAACAAAAATAGAACAACGATCATCACGCGCGTTTGTTGTAAATATTTACACCCCTCCCCCTTTTCCTCGCCTCCAACACGGAGCTCATCATCTTACTACAACAACTTATCTACAGCCTGTGTAAACAGAGAACAAAATATCTGTTTACTAGACAAATGTAAGCAGAGCGCAGATTGGATGTAATATAGCAGTATAATAAAGTAGGCACACACTATCAGTTGTCAATCAATTTTTTTAGAGATTAAAAAATACAATCATGATTGTACTAATATACTGATGTGTATTCCTGTAGGTTTGAACTAGACGGTATCTAGTGTTTTGTATTTGGTAACTTTTATTTGTTTGCCGAGTTGATTCAGTTGGCCGGTGTGTTCATGTAATTTCTCAGTGCAAAGCTTTTGTATCAGGGGCGTCACTTGTTGGACTCATTTACTTATGTAGTAACTTGGTGGACATAGGTATATTAGAATTCTAGAAAGATCGCTTGTAGCGCTAGAAATATCACCTAGATGGGAGCAGTTTCTGATACGATAGCATACATGAGGCACAGGAACCAATTTGCTAATATAACAAGTTTAATTTGTAATTTTGTTCCAGATTTGTTGTCATTGAATCGCTTTAATAGTTTTAAGAAAATGATTCGTTTTAATAATAAGTTTGCTTTAAAATTATACTTTTTATCTAACATTTAAAAAATGTGTTATTATTTAAAATTTTCTTTAATCGGAACACACATGCATGTAGTGTTTGAGTAATAATTTAGAGAGAAAAATTAATATTGACACTCACTTTATTTTTTAAAGAGAACAAAAACTATTACTGTGTTACGTCCCCTCCCAATGCTTACCGCCCTTTCCTTCTCTCCTCTCATAAATTTCCTTCTCTCCTCTCATAAAGCGTCTAATTTGACGGTTGTAAATAAATTGTATTCAAATTGAAATTTGTGAAGAATTATTTTTTTTACTGTTGCAGCGCACTCTTGGCGCGGTGATCTGTGTGTTTGTTGGTTTGATCGTCTGCCTCTCGTTTCACGTGTACACAGTGCTACACCGCGCAATGCCCCCTGGTCTAGCGGAGGCTGAGAAAATACGTTGGTTCGATGAGCTAGGAAGGCTAGCCCGTAGAGGGGTGAGTTGGTCTGTTAGCCCGTAGAGGGGTGAATTCCAATGGAACAACATCCATAAAGGATTATATACAACATTAACTTATACAATATCCACACCAGATTATACAAAACATTACCCTATGATTATAATTATCAGAGTTTCTTCCAGGCATCTCTTCGGGGGGGGGGGGGGCTAAGCCCCCCCCCCCCCCGAAAATTTTTTACCCCCCCCCCCCCGAACGAAATGAAATTTATATAATTTATATAGAAAATATATACTTTTAACAGTGTCCGCCCCCCCCCCCCGAAGAAAGTTTACCGCCCCCCCCCCCCCGAAGATTTCAAGTGCCCCCCCCCCCGGAGAAAAAAGTCTGGAAGAAACACTGATAATTATATACTTCATATCCACAAGATTATATACATCCACCCGAGATTATATTCAACATGCCCACAAGATTATATACAACACCCACACAGGATTTTATGCAACATCCACACAAGATTTTATACAACATCCACACAAGATTTTATACAACATCCACACGATATTTTATACACCATCCACACAAGATTTTATACAACATCCACACACGATTTTATACATCCCCACAAGATTTTTTACAACACCCACACAGGATTTTATGCAACATCCACACAAGATTTTATACAACATCCACACGATATTTTATACACCATCCACACAAGATTTTATACAACATCCACACAAGATTTTATACATCCCCACAAGATTTTTTACAACACCCACACAGGATTTTATGCAACATCCACACAAGATTTTATACAACATCCACACGATATTTTATACACCATCCAAACGAGATTTATACAACACTCACACAGGATTTTATGCAACACCCACACAGGATTTTATACAACATCCAATCGAGATTTTATACAACATCCACACAAGATTATATATAACAGGCATGTTGGGCAGACTCCCCCCCCCCCCCCCCCCCCCACGCCCGGTTATCGATAACAATTTAGGAATTAGCTAAGTCTGTTACAAATAATTTATTTAATAACGTATTTGTTCTGTTTCATACATGTTTGTATAATTAATTGATTTAATATATTTGTTCCGTTACACAGATGTCTGTTACAAATAATTTATTTAACAACGTATTTGATTTGCTACACAGATGTCTGTTATAAATAATTGATTGAATAACGTATTTGATTTGTTCCATAGAGTGGTCTCATGCATGACGTTGGTATCAACATAGGCATTCAGCCAATGAAAATCTTTATTAACACGGCCTTCTCCATTTTGTTCAATCCGCTACCATGGCAACGCGTTGTTTACAGAAATATAAGGGTATGAGATTTATTTATTAAACATTCGTTTTTCCTAAGAAAATGACGTAAAAAATTGCTATTTCTTTCCTTTTTTTATTACAAGCTTTTATTTAACTCACTTCCTCTGTCGACAGTCTGTCGACAGTCTGTCTAGACGGAAACGCAGGAGTGAAAATTCGGAAACTTCTACTTGACCGATACGATTCACACTTGGCACGTGGGTCAAGACATGAAGACAATGCAATCTGAAACTAAATTTGACTTAATTGGATGCCTAATTAATTTTTTATGAATTAATTAAAATTTGGACCGAATTAGTAGGCATGTCTAGCCAACCACACCACACGCGTCATCACCTTCACTAGCTGCGCCATCACGTAATGGCTGCGTTCAAAAACCATTGCGCGCCTACTGAACGTGATGTTCAGAAGGCGCGCAATGGTTTTTAGTCATGTAACTCTATTGTAAATAAAACATGTAAAGTACTGAAAAAAAATTCATAAAAAACGTTTTAATAACAAGCTTTTATGTAATGATGCACTAAAAAGTAGAAAATAAATTATAGACTACTATTTAAATAGCTATAAAGAAAAGCGTGGGTGTCTTCCTTAACATTAGTAAAGGTATCCAATAGATACTAAAGTGACCCACGCTTTTCTTTATAGTTATTTAAATAGTAGTCTATAATTTATTTCTTGATTAAGCTTATAGTATTTTCATATTCGAACCTCCTCTTTCTCAATAGTATCATAGCTATGATGTTTATATTTTGTGCATGCAAACTAATTCTTGCTGTTGTAGATACAACCACTTTCATTTTAAAAAAACGCCCTATAAAAGACCTTATAGCAGGTTATAGACATCGAACCAATTATGGGGACTCATTTTATTCTGCTCCAATTTGATTATCACTAAACCTCCAACAGTTTTGTTAATTGTATACAAGCACAATCACGAACTGAAATACCAAAACTAGATGGTAAATAACGTTTTCAATCCTCAACAACCATTTGTTTCTCAGGTCAACCAAGACGTGTATGATGGCGTGACTGTGAGCACATACACGCCTGTGAAGAACAGCTCTCCACCCAACTGTCAGGGCTACCCTACTATTGTTTACTTCCATGGTGGGGGATGGACGTGGCTCTCTGTAGGTGCGTTCTTTATGTTCTTGTCTGTAGGTGTGTTCTTTATGTAGGCCTACTTGTCTGTAGGTGCGTTCTTCGTGTTCTTGTCTGCGTTCTTCGTGTTCTTGTCTGTAGGTGTGTTCTTTTATTTCTTTATGTTATTGCATGTAGGTGTGGTCTTTATGTTCTTGTATGTAGGTGCGTTCTTTATGTGTGTGTTTTTTTTCGTACTACCCGCTGTTTTAGATATCATATTGCTTGTTTTAAATCTTCTAATTTTGCTTGTTTTAAATTGTCTTATCTTGCCTGTTTTACCTCTTTTCGTATTGCCTGTTCTACATTTCGATTTGTTTAATTTGTTAACTCTTATTATTGACAGGTGTATATGACGGTCCACTAAAAAATCTGGCAAACAAAACCAAGTTCAAGGTTGTGGCCGTTGAGTATGTTGCTTTGAAATACTGAATTGATTTTTTAAAATTATTGATTATCTTTAGCTTAACAAGAGTATTGAATAACAATCCGACCAGCTAAACTCAGGTCATTACAATAGAGTCTGAGGGGGTTGTGGTGGTTTATTGTTTCAGTTGCTTTTAACTGAATTTTTTCTGTACGTCACCCACAACTGATGTCACTCACCTATTTTTTATGGAGGGGGGGTGTAGGAGGGATTGGTTTAGAATCAATGACGATTGACGATAAGATGCGATAGGGGGAATGGGGATGAAAGAAATATAAGAAGCATACACGCAATTTTTCTCTATAAAATGAGAATAAAAACATTACTTTTCGTTATAATTGTGGTCATGTTGTACAGGGAATTACATCTTTATTACGTTATAAGGTGGGGAGGGGAGTTGGGTTTTTCTGGCTTTTTTGAGACGGTTGTTAAAAATTAGCTAAAATAGAGTAAGTGACATTTTTTTTACAGTTGACCTAGCAGTAAAAAAAGCAGAGTTTGTTGTGTTGATGGGGCAATACAATTTATATATTCGGGTGTTTCAATATACTTCTTATATCATTAGCTCATACAAACCTCACAACATCCTATACTAAATTGTTGTACAGGTACAGGACAGCGCCCCAAGATCCATTCCCCGCGGCCTACGACGATTGTCTGGCTGTCACCAAGTACATTGTGCAGCATTCGAAAGAGCTCAACGTCTGCAAAGATCTGATCGTAGTGGCGGGAGACGGCGCGGGTGGAAATCTTGCTGCCGCGGTGGCCATTGAGCTCTCCAGCTTTGTTCGTCTGCAAATCTTGATTAACCCCGCCCTACAAATGCTCAACTTTGCCACACCGTCGTACCAGGATTTCTCCGACATGGAAATGCTGCCCGGCATTACATCGCCAGAAAAAGAGATTACCAATTGGATGCGATACGGGAACATCAATCTTAGCTTTAAACATTTACTCCAGGGGAATCGACATGTTTCTTTAGAAAGTTATGCCGCGTTTTCAGACTTTTTGAACAGTTCCAAAAGACTCCCCAGCCCTTTAAAAGTATCAAATAAATCCACGATCCACAACTCTGAGAGCAACGATACGGTATCGCCTTTTATCGATAATCTAATATTAGACTCTCGTTTCAATCCAATGTTTACACAAGATGTAAGTTTTGTAGCAGACACATACATCATTACGTCACAGTTTGATGTGCTGCGTGACGAAGCACTCATGTTTGGACACAGACTGCTAGAAAATGGAGTCAAAGTTGAATTACACCACTACTACCATGGCTTTCACGGATTTTTCTTATTCGCTGGCGGTGGTTGGATCGAACTGAAAGAAAGTCAAAAAGCAATGGAACAATTAGTTAATTATTTAAACAAAGAAATTCTAAGGTTAAAAACTAATTGAATAGCCTAATTTAAAGTCGTGTATGCGGGTATTATTTACTGATATTAATTATTAATAATTATTTCCGCGTGAAGGCCTATGATACAATCCTCCAGAAATTTGAAATAGGTCAATCTCCAACATACGCGGTAAACTTTCTCAGATCTGTCGCTTTGAGACGGTAGACACATTTATTGTATAAGAAACAAAAGATTTAATCAATTCACTGGGTTTTGTTGTTCTGTTTTTTTAAAATAACCAACCGTAACAAACGTCAACTAGTAGAGAGCAATTTTGGAGCTTGTTCAGATAAGCCCCGCCACAAATGCAAAAAGTGCACGGGAGAAAAGTTTAAGCCATTACGCTCACAACCTTGATCTATGTCTGATGTCTAGACATATGAATATTTAAACGCACGCCATAAAAACAACTCCTTATCCGCCTTTAGAGTTATGATTAAGGTCAGGGTTAGGTTAATACTAAGAGAACAAAGTCATCTTTTTTAATACTTTTTTTTGAGTGGCTGGGGTTACGTTTTGGCGTGGCTTATCTGGACAAGATCCCCCATTTTTTTAAAATGTATAGTCATTCTATGACTGTTGTAAGAAGCAATACTGGTGGGTTGGGGGTATCATGCCTAAGGAAAAAATTAAAACATTGCACAAAAAGTAATTTCAGATGTCCCAATTGAAATTAATTTAAAAGAAACCCACTAAGTTCCTAATGATTTAAACATGTATTAAGACTTAAATTATGTAAGCATACTTACTTAATACTTCTCTATTAACTCAGACTTTTTTTCCAAACCATTTCTGAACTCTGAATCAAATTTAATAAATAATTTGATAACAGACTCCAACGTTAACCTAATGTCTATGCTAGCAATGTACACATAACCTGCATAGTTACACCACAATTTCGTGTGCTTTGTCTCATTTCTGTTCAAATATAAGGGTATCCTGGCATGTAAAAAAAATAATTGTCTGCACTTTATATACATACAAACACATACGTCAAATTAAGCACCGTAACAAATGAACGTAAAAAACTGTAAATAGTTTATTGTTATCACAAGGATAAAACCCACAGAATGTACTCTCCCAACATGAACCCATCAGGATACAGAAACATGAGCAATAAAATAAAGATGAGATCTGTACAAGGTTTGATGCTACTAACTATGTTCATATGGTTGACATGGTTCATAGTGCTCTGTCCATGTTAATTTATCTTCAGCAAGTCTAATACTTTGGTGTGAACATTAATTGAAAAGTGAACAAATATTTCTAATTAAAGATATATATATACATATCAGAGGCGTATCCAGGTTTTTGTTGTAGGGGGAGCGAAATGAGCAAAAAAAGGCGCCGAATTTTTAGCATGTTCTATATACATGTATTATATATATATATATATATATATATATATATATATATATATATATATATATATATATATACATATAAAGTTTCCAAAAAGGCGCCACTTGGCTGAAAATGGCCAGAGGGGGAGCGGCCGCTCCCCCCCCTGCGTACGCTACTGATATATATATATATATATATATAATATAGAGAGGGGGGTATATGAAATGTTGAGCAGAAATATATTATTGGAATTCAATTTGGTAAAAAAAAAATACGAATGTAAGTTAAATTTAATTTATACCTAATAAGAAACAGAATATAAATTTGTTTATCAAATAATATGAACACATGCTTTATCACCGGAAATAACACTAGTCCATGTGTGGTCTAGGGTTAACTCTAGTTCATGTGTGGTCTAGGGATAACTCTAGACAACTTGTGGTTTAAGGATAACTCTAGCTGATTATGCTTGTTTCTATCTACAGCACACTGAAATAATCAACAAAACATAAACAATGAAGAAATCAAAATTGGTTCATCCTACAACCTAAATTTATCAACACAAAAATAAACTTCCAAGTTTTTTCAAAATAAATAATTTGATAAATAAAAATATTTTCAGAGAACATAAAATGTAAAGAAATATGCAATATAAATACTTATTCTTCATAGAAGAAATAGAGGAATGTTCCACTGAAGCATGGGACAAAACACAATTTATTACAACAATGTTCAAGTTCTGGTTAGTCTTTCTGTCTGTTGAACGCATTTTATACAGTGACATGTCCCCATCACAAACTTACAATGGAGATGTGATAGGTTGAAATATTTCAACAGTGCCACATCCACTGAATGCCAGAAATAAAAATTCTCATACTTTAACATGAATATTTGAGAGATCCTCTTACTTCTTGTCTAATGCATGACAGGTCAATTCTCAATTAAGCTGAAAAACCCAGTCCATAACTATCTAAAGCTAAGTGACTACACAGTTGTAATGAAACTAGAATTGATTCAATTTGCTGATATTTTAAATAACATATCTGAAGCCCATTAAGGGACAAAATAAACCTTTAAAACAAAACCCATCTTTAAAAATAATAATATACAAAAACTAAATGAATCGCACTACATAATAATAAAATGTAAAGAGATATTTTAAAAACAACCAATATAACTTGTACACAGTAATGTACACTTTCCAGAAAAATACTATTATTCTAGCAGTTATTTGATATGGTCACAAAATGAAATAGCAAAGTACCAACCCTTCTATTTTAACATAATGTTTGGGACACCACGTAGTTTGGCTTTATACAGTCTCTACATTAGCAAATATATCAGCAGAAATCTGAGGCACTTTTTATGAAATAAAATAGCACAATTATCTTTGTGAAGTATTTCTCGTTTAGTCCTTAATAGGGTTCACATTAAGAAAAATGCATTAGGCCTACCCTGGATTTATTAGGTTTTTTTTTATTTCAGAGAATACAAGTAACATTTTCACATCTTAAAGAAAAAAAAATGTGTTACTTAATACATTCAAGTTATTACTCACAATACCAACAAAATTTTGTATCCACTTTCTGAATTAATAATACCTATATAAAAGATTACATTTACTAAAAAAAATGTTAACAGCTATTTTTAGTAACCTGAAGCTTCTGCAACAGATACATAAATATGACAAGTGAGCTGGTGAACACAACCTGTTTGCTAAAATAAATTTTAAAAACATGCCTTTTTTAATGAAATTCAAACAGAATTATTTTGCCAGAGATTTTTGTTGTAACTCAGCGGGAAAAAAAGAGTAAAATCTTTGTCCTCATTAATTTAAACCCATGTATGTGGGTTACTCTATACACTATTATTATTTTTTTAAAGAATGATCAATTTAATGTAGATTTTTTGTAGGTTTGTTAATCATAAAAAATTAAAATGCATTTATTTTTAAAAATTTAATCATGAATAAGAAGAGTATTAGAATTACAAATTTTGATAAATTTTTTTCTGCATCACCGTAACTGTTTAGAGGCAGCCACTGAATGAGGTTCCACAGTGTTAAAAATGTTTTTGTGAGTGCTGTTACAAAAATAATTGATAAAAAATAAAAATCAACCACTACAAGGAAGAACTGAACTAAACACACCTGAAAAAATGACCTAGATATATGATTAAAAGCTTGGATTCTGCATAGTAAAGGAAAAAATGTCATCACCACTAGGAGCGTCATACCAGTCAAAGAACCTCAATTATCTAAATTTAAAACTAGCTTGTTCAGATGTTTTCTTTTGGTTTACTGTTTATATTCATAAATAACTTATGCACAAATGTTATGAATTATAAAACAATATTTTCAATGAATTAAACTCTGTTTTTAGGGCTTGAGTTTCCATTCTTCAAAATGCTTCCATTATTGCTAGTTAACGGCACCAGTGAAGTATCAAAGTGTGTTTCCTCCTCATCTTCTGACTCTGATGGTGCAGCACGCACTTCCATCTCCCACTGATTGGTCAGCACATCCACCTGGCTACGCCCCTCTCTCATTTCCTGTGGGGGAATTTAAATATTGCAGGTGAAAAATATCATGGCATCTATTATTTTTTGTATGACGATTATCTGTGATTTACAAGAAAATTTACTTATATAAATTCTTTTTTTAATTTGTCCAAATAATAATTACAATTACTATAATTTTCTTTTACTTGTATTTTCAACTAAAGCTGAAAGTTTTTTCAGTAATTAGAAGTCAGGAAGATGAGTGCAATGATCAACAAATATTTTTTTAGACACTCCACTTACCTGTTGGGTAAATCTTTTAGTAAAGAATGGAATAAGATATCGAACGTCTAGCTTAAGAAAACCTTTCAGATGTGGCCGCACAACATGAGTTTCATCTTCCTCTGTTAGCTCAGATAAGTGCTCAGAATCAATGGCATCACCCTAAGAGAGAATTATATTGGCTTAACTAGAACTGTAAGGCTTTACTCAATAGCAGAGACAATCAATTTAAATAAAAAACACAATGGATTTTTATTGTGTGATAGTGCCTGCACATCAACAGATAAAGCCTACTTGAAACAAGCAACTTGTGTCACCAAAACTGAGATGAAACATCCATTCACTCACCATTTCTTTGGTTTTGCTCATTGATACTTCACCCTCAAACTTTTTCTTCTTTTTAAATTTTTTGTCCGTTTTCTGCAGAAACTAAAAAATACACAAATAATATTTTTCAATTAACATAGTGTTTTTTAAAGATGTAAAACTTTCAGAGTTTAATTTTTATATGTAACTATTACTATGAGCTGCTGTATACAACAAGGCCAAGAAATATTTTGCCTGACAACTAATCTTTAGTAGTTTTTTTGTTCAAAGATTTAAAACAGAAAATAACACAAATGTAAAAAATAATTTAAACCAGCTTTAAATTATACCAAAACAAATTTCTGGCACTAAACGTTTTGGAGAAAATCAAATGAGGGCTAAATTAAACTTATTGGCTAAAAACAAGTTAGTACACAAACCAATTTTGTAGAAATGACACAGCAAAAAGCTAATAGAATATCTTAAGTTAAGCTGTACCAACCCACCCTGCATTAAGCTTCTACTAAATATAAGGTTTACCTTCAACAAAGGCATGGTTGATCCCCCTAGAAAGACAACAGTAAACAACACCATAATAAGTGTAGTTGTAACCAGTACGTAGTGCTTCTCTTCTTCCAGCTCCATGTGAAGACTTAGGGCAAAAGCTACCGCACCTCTCAGACCTAGGGAAATGATAAAAATAAACATTCAAATGTTTAAAGTTTTTTTTGTTGTTAATATTGATGACGTCTTCAACTGTCCAAAAGTAAGAAAATGTTAATAGAATTTTCAGTATTAAGTGTATTGGTTTGTAGCCTACTTTATAAAAAGAATTAAAATGCAAATTATTTTTGCTTAGAACATTTTTTTTTCTATTTATAAAAGTTAAAGAAATATATAAAGTAGAAACTGACCACTGAACCACATGATAAACTGATTCTTCTTTGTGATTTTGTGTTCTCTGAAGAAGTTCATTAAGAAAGACAGAGGGAAAATGTTGAAAGCCCGACCTATTAAAATGAGCACCTGTAAATACAAACATTTAGATTTTGAAGTGTAACAGGCTGGATTGCATTCATTTTTTAAATAGTAATAAAATAGCCTTAAGTTTACAAAGATTTTTAAAAATTCTTTAAAATAAAACCAAATGTAAATTAGACTATCTTAAAATCAGCCTAAAAATATTTTTAAAAATTATAAAACAAGTGTTGACAATGAATGGCTACTTACTATGCTCCATATAGTAAAGGCTGGTTTGACATTGACTTTAAAGCTAAAAATAGCCAAACCAAGATAAGCAAAAACACATGTTTCTGCAAAATAAAAAAGAACTATTTAAAATAGCATTATGGTTGAAATCTATTAAATTAACACAATTTATGACTGGGTTGTAGTTTAGAGTGGAACCCTCAGGTCAAACAACATAGAGGATAACCTAGAGAACATGATGCTAGAAAAACAGGAGAGAGCTGGGGAGGAATAATAGGATGACAGGAGGCCATGGTGAATGGAGAGTTTTGATGGAGGGCCTGCATTCCTAAAGGAACTAGAAGGTAATGGTGATGAGCTTAGAGCATATAGTCTTTGGTGTCAAGTCCCACACACCAACCTGCTATGAAGGCTATACCAACCTGCCATGAAGGCTATACCAACCTGCTATGAAGGCTATACCAACCTGCTATGAAGGCTATACCAACCTGTTATGAAGGCTATACCAACCTGCTATGAAGGATATAGCAACCTGCTATGAAGGCTGTACCAACCTGCTATGAAGGCTATACCAACCTGCTATGAAGGCTATAACAACCTGCTATGAAGGCTATACCAACCTGCTATGAAGGCTATACCAACCTGCTATGAAGGCTATACCAACCTGCTATGAAGGCTATACCAACCTGCTATGAAGGCTATACCAACCTGCTATGAAGGCTATACCAACCTGCTATGAAGGCTGTACCAACCTGCTATGAAGGCTATACCAACCTGCTATGAAGGCTATACCAACCTGCTATGAAGGCTATACCAACCTGCTATGAAGGCTATAACAACCTGCTATGAAGGCTATACCAACCTGCTATGAAGGCTATACCAACCTGCTATGAAGGCTATACAAACCTGCTATGAAGGCTATACCAACCTGCTATGAAGGCTATACCAACCTGCTATGAAGGCTATACCAACCTGCTATGAAGGCTATACCAACCTGCTATGAAGGCTATACCAACCTGCTATGAAGGCTATAACAACCTGCTATGAAGGCTATACCAACCTGCTATGAAGGCTATACCAACCTGCTATGAAGGCTATACAAACCTGCTATGAAGGCTATACCAACCTGCTATGAAGGCTATACCAACCTGCTATGAAGGCTGTACCAACCTGCTATGAAGGCTGTACCAACCTGCTATGAAGGCTATACCAACCTGCTATGAAGGCTATACCAACCTGCTATGAAGGCTATACCAACCTGCTATGAAGGCTGTACCAACCTGCTATGAAGGCTATACCAACCTGTTATGAAGGCTATACCAACCTGCTATGAAGGCTATAGATCTGAAGGTTTGCTGCACTGTTATTTGAGAGACAGGAGACAGGTTGAAATGGGTGTAGTGTGACATCACAATCCCACAGAACAGGATGGCCATAATACCTTCAAGGGTAAAATTTCAAGTTAATATAAGTTTAAAAAGCCAACTTCATACTTTCAAACAACCAGAAATGACTGTCGTGTTTTGAGACATTTGTATTTAGCATATATATATATGTGGCAGCACTATGCCCAACTGTCTTTACTTTCCCTAATGTGAATCAGGTACCCATCAGAGCTGGGTGGACTCAGGGACTACTTGCAGACTTGAGTCTGGTCTGAGTTCTGAACTAGAGACTTCAGGTTAGAAGACAAACGCTCTACCACACCATCTCAGAGGATGACATTTATTAATAAAAATCTAAAAATTATGATGACTAAGCAAATATCAATCATTTTTTTTTTATTGTAATTATACTAGAAACTTAACCAACTTTGTGTACCCTAGTTAAAGAGCAGAAAGCAATTCTACATGTTTCTAAAGACTAACACAGAAAGAAAAATTAAAAATGCTGAATTTACCCCTAGGATGTAGAATCAAGTACCAAACAAACAACCTTTAAAACAATGAAGTTGATAGAAAATGCAAGTACCAGATAAGTGAATCCCTTCAGCTAGAGCATATGGCAAGTATGAGAAACAGAACACCATTCCCACCTCTAGAGATGGTGTTTTGTGTAAGTTCAGGAACTTGGTTATCTGTGGGCAAATAGAAATATTGTTTAAATGTTGCTGATAATACATTTTTAAATAAACCAATTGAATACATAACACAAAATATAAAATAATTTAAGGTTAAAAAAACTAGCTAACAGTTAAGTCTGACATATTGTCTTCATTTTGACCAGATCTATATAAATATTAAACAGGCTTTATGAATGATTAAAACTCAACACATAATTAAAAGTTAGTCAGGACTTACCATAGCACTGACAAGGCCAAAAGCTACACCAATGGCAGCTGAGGCAAAGAACATGAGACAGAAGCGTCCAACAGCTTGGAAGAAGGCAGCCGTGCCACTGGTTATCACAGTTGATGGAGAGGCAAACTCAAGGAGTGTCCTGGACAAATTTTAGAAAACATTTAGGGCAAACTCAAGGAGTGTCCTGGACAAATTTTAGAAAACATTTAGGGCAAACTCAAGTAGCGTCCTGGACAAATTTTAGAAAACATTTAGGGCAAACTCAAGGAGAGTCGTGGACAAATTTTAGAAAACATTTAGGGAAAACTCAAGGAGTGTCCTGGACAAATTTTAGAAAACATTTAGGGAAAACTCAAGGAGAGTCCTGGACAAATTTTAGAAAACATTTAGGGAAAACTCAAGGAGAGTCCTGGACAAATTTTAGAAAAAGTTTAGGGCATGTCGTTCACAAATTATGGTACAATGATTAGTCTTGACAGATGGTTCTATTTTCATTTAGGATATAAGAAATATATATCAAGATACACGAGATGTTGCAGACCAGTTCAACAAAAACTTGATGGAATCTGATTTTTCTTTAAATGTGGAGAAAAATAACAGCTTTAACAAGAAAAAAAATGTACCTACGTGGTGAGTACAATGGAGACAGCATCATTCAGCATGGACTCTCCAAACACCAACATGTACAAGATTGGATCAACATCCAGGGCCTGGAAGATTGCCAACGTGGCAACTGGGTCCACAGCAGACACCAGGGACCCAAAAGCAAAACTTTCAACCACATCAAGCTTGTAGGCTACCTCAGCCTGAGAACAAAAGGTTAAGCCATTTACATTCATATACTAAATATACTCACATACCTGACCCAGAATATACTTAATATAGTCACATACCTGACCCAGAATATACTAAATATAGTCACATACCTGACCCAGAATATACTAAATATAGTCACATACCTGACCCAGAATATACTAAATAAAGTCACATACCTGACCCAGAATATACTAAATATATTCACATACCTGACCCAGAATATACTAAATATATTCACATACCTGACCAAGAATATACTTAATATAGTCACATACCTGACCCTGAAGATACTAAATATAGTTACATACCTGACCCAGAAGATAGACCCCTCCCCCCACAACCACAGCAGATATGACAGTACCAAACACAGCAAACACAAGAATGGAACCAATGTTATGGAAAAAATTTCCCTGAAAAAGAAAGCGGATGATGGTGACAAAAAATAAAAGCAATATATTTATTATTGTTTTGTGTCTAGTTTTAAAAAAAAATGATGGCTCGTTAAATTGGGAGTTAGAATATAAAAAATGCTATAGTGAATCCAAAATGTTTAGTCTCGGGTACCTTATGCAAGTTATAACCTCCCTCAAATATAATGGGTGGCAGCAAGACAATGAAGAACACTGTGGGTGGGAAAGCCTCCTCATTCTGGAAACATTTTTTTACACACATTAATCATAACAATAACATTTTACAGATCATTTTATGTAGGCTTTTTATTATCTAGTTTCTATAATAAAAGTAAATAATTGTAATTTATCACTCTATCAGTGGGTTATCCAAATGTTAATTTTTTGTAAGATTTAAAGTTCAAAGTTCCATCAACAGAAGTTTTTTCTTTAACATTACTTTAAGTAAAGATTAGATCTGAGGATAGTATAGATTAAATTGACAAGAGTTTAAAAATTCTCACCTTCCAGTTGCCAAATTTAAACAGCTTCAGGAGGAGACCAATACATGCACCTAGAAAAGAAGGGAGATAAGTTTGGCATGTTGGGAGTTTTTAAAAAAATACTATCAAAAAAATTGTGAAATTAAGTAAACTTTCTACATAATGTTTTTTTTTTAAACTCACCAATTAGAACAATAGCTATGCTATCAGGTAAATAATGAAACTTGGTCTGAATTAAAAGATGAACCACCAAAATGGATATAGCTGTAAGTAAAACAAAAAAGAATTTCTAATCCATCTTTTTAGAGAAATTATTAATTAAAAATAGGGGTCTTCTTAAATTACTTCCCGCTCCTTTTTTTTGGGAGGGGGGGAGGGGGTAGAGTGGGACACATAAGGAGAGTGTAAACAAGCTTTTAGAATTAAAAAGATAAATTTAAATGTTTTTTGTTAGGCCTAAATTATTAAATTATAATTTGATTTTGTGATTTGCAACCTTTGAGACAAAATCAGCCTATCTACAAAACATTTAAATTTATTTTTATTGAGTTATATTATTTTATTAAAGGAAAGAACAAAATTGCTATTTTTTTTGAAAAAGAAAAAATGCAGATGTAGGGGTATGGGTAGGAGGCTAAAGAGTAACATCTGAAATCTGTTACAATGTGAGATAATTGTGCATGTGTGTGTGTGTGTGTGTGTGGGAGGGGGGGGGGGGTGAACGAAAGACAAATAAATGAATTAAAGATTGGCTGTTTCATTTTGTATACTTTAAGTGTACTTTAATTAAAACAAACAAAACATTTATCCCAAGTAGAAGTATGTTTGGGCCACTAAGACATTTATTTTATTTCTTCCAACTTGGGAGGTAATACAAGTTAAAAAAAGCCAACTTCATACTTTCTGGGTCTTCCAACTTGGTAGAAATAAAATAAATGTCTTAGTTTCAACCCTCTCTCTCCTACCTCCCCCACAAAAGAACTTTAATTATTAACTAATTAATATATATATTGTAATTACATTTACGGATGACTCAGGACCCATTCTTTATAAGTATAGCAGTATTGCCTGCCCCTTCACTGATGACCAGTGTTTCTTTCAGACTTTTTTCTCCAGGGGCAGCCGGCGGAGGGGGGGGGGAAGAGATGCCTGGAAAAAGCTCTGCTAATGACTACAGCTAAATTAGTACTTGTACTTACCCACAACAAGCAATATAAAAAAGATTGTCAAACTACTATGGTGCTCCTCCTCAGCTGCGCCTTTAGGGGGCAGTTCCGGTTTCTCAACATGGGGCGCGGGTGTCGTCAGCAGAACTACTTCCGTTTCTGTAACATTGGCAGTTGTTTGATTGGCGTGGCTGTTTAAATAGAAAACAAGGAGTATCGCAATGGAGACAAACGAGACAAACTTGAGTTTCTTCCGTCTGATATAAAGATAACGAACATAAATCCTGCACTGGCGGGAGTTGAATGCGCTCAGCAAAACCTCCACTAGAATGTCAACAAAGCTTACAAGCATTTCCGGTTTACAGAAAGCAGGGAGGAAATATGGCAACAGAGTTCGTTGAGACGGTTAACGTAACATCTTGTAACGGTGATAACACAGATAGAACGCGTCAACTGCGACAGCGTTGAACATTTATTATTCATGATTATAACAAACACACGGTTAGAGAAGTATTTCAAAAGAAAGGTTGCCCTGTTCAATAAAAAAAAACGAATGTATTTAGTGCGATGTAGATGTAGGTTAGGCCTACTTAAAACTTTTAACAATTCAATCGATGTTTTTAAAAAGGACAACGCACACCTATATATAATGCTTTAAGATTGCTTGAGTACACAGCTTATGTTTCGGCGCAAAATCTATAGCTAATCTATACCACAGCTAATCTATACTATAGCTAATCTATACCACAGCTAATCTATACCACAGCTAATCTATACCAAAGCTAATCTATACCACAGCTAATCTAATCTATACCACAGCTAATCTATACCACAGCTAATCTAATCTATACCACAGCTAATCTAATCTATACCACAGCTAATCTAATCTATACCACAGCTAATCTATACCACAGCTAATCTAATCTATACCACAGCTAATCTAATCTATACCACAGCTAATCTAATCTATACCACAGCTAATCTAATCTATACCACAGCTAATCTAATCTATACCACAGCTAATCTAATCTATACCACAGCTAATCTATACCACAGCTAATCTATACCACAGCTAATCTAATCTATACCACAGCTAATCTAATCTATACCACAGCTAATCTAATCTATACCACAGCTAATCTAATCTATACCACAGCTAATCTATACCACAGCTAATCTAATCTATACCACAGCTAATCTAATCTATACCACAGCTAATCTATACCACAGCTAATCTAATCTATACCACAGCTAATCTAATCTATACCACAGCTAATCTATACCACAGCTAATCTAATCTATACCACAGCTAATCTAATCTATACCACAGCTAATCTAATCTATACCACAGCTAATCTAATCTATACCACAGCTAATCTATACCACAGCTAATCTAATCTATACCACAGCTAATCTATACCACAGCTAATCTAATCTATACCACAGCTAATCTATACCACAGCTAATCTAATCTATACCACAGCTAATCTATACCACAGCTAATCTAATCTACACCACAGCTAATCTATACCACAGCTAATCTATACCACAGCTAATCTAATCTACACCACAGCTAATCTATACCACAGCTAATCTAATCTATACCACAGCTAATCTATACCACAGCTAATCTATACCACAGCTAATCTAATCTATACCACAGCTAATCTATACCACAGCTAATATATACTACAACTAATCTATAACACAACTACACTATAACAAAGCTGATATATAAAATAGTCGAACTATATAACAACTAATCTATCTACAACACAGCTCTGGGTTTTGGCATATACAATTTGCTACAGCTGTTGCCTAGGGAATAAAGAACCCCAACCAACAAGGTGAGAACCCTAACAAGATTGGGAAAATCTAATTACAAGAATGAGAAACTCTAATGACAAGAGTGAGAACCTTTAAATACAAGAATGAGAACCTCTAATGACAAGAATGAGAACCTCTAATGACAAGAATGAGAATCTTTAATTACTAGAATGAGAACCTCTAATGACAAGAATGAGAATCTTTAATTACTAGAATGAGAACCTCTAATGACAAGTGTGAGAACCTCTAATGACAAGTGTGAGAACCTCTAATGACAAGTGTGAGAACCTCTAATGACAAGATTAAGAACCTCTAATGACAAGAGTGAGAACCTCTAATGACAAGAGTGAGAACCTCTAACTTTAATGACAAGAATGAGAACCTCTACTGACAAGAATGAGAACCTCTAATGACAAGTGTGAGAACCTCTAATGACTAGAGTGAGAACCTCTAATGACAAGAATGAGAACCTAATGACAAGAATGAGAACCTTTAAATACAACTGTGAGAACCCCTAATTACAAAAGTAAGAGCCTCTAATGACAAGAATGAGAATCTTTAATTACTAGAATGAGAACCTCTAATGACAAGAGTGAGAACCTCTAATGACAAGAGTGAGAACCTCTAATGACAAGAATGAGAACCTCTAATGACAATGGTGAGAACCTCTAATGACAAGAATGAGAACCTCTAATGACAAGAGTGAGAACCTCTAACTCTAATGACAAGAGTGAGAACCTCTAATGACAAGGGTGAGAACCTAATGACATGAATGAGAACCTCTAATGACAAGAGTGAGAACCTCTAATGACAAGGGTGAGAACCTAATGACAAGGGTGAGAACCTCTAATTACAAGAGTGAGAACCTCTAATGACAAGAGTGAGAACCTCTAATGACAAGAGTGAGAACCTCTAATGACAAGGGTGAGAACCTAATGACAAGGGTGAGAACCTCTAATGACAAGAGTGAGAACCTCTAATGACAAGGGTGAGAACCTCTAATTACAAGAGTGAGAACCTCTATTGACAAGAATGAGAACCTCTAATGACAAGTTCGATTACCGAATATTTTTATTTTCTGCTTACAACGCAACAACCTAGACGGCCAACTGTTGCACGCGTTGATCAGTACACAAGATAGCCCAGATATCAACGCTACATCAAACATAAATCTGACTACAATGGTGCGTTAATTGTGGTGTACAGCTGTCATACAGTTGGATCGTGTCCTTCTGTGACCACACCGTTGAACCGCTAAAGCAACTTAACTGCACCCGGTACTTAAAACGGATTAGAGTTAACATCATCATTAAGATGGCCACAAACCGACTGGGGTAGAATAAGGGAGGGGTAAAAACAACGAGTCGTCCATAAACGACGCCACACTCGTAGGGGTAGGGGAGGCAGTGGCGTAGCCAGGATCGTCTCAAAGGGGGGGGGTTCCAATTTTTACCCGGGACCAAACTTTCGATTTGCACCCCCCCCCCTCAAACTTTCGATTTGCACCCCCCTCATACTTTATATATATATACCGAGGGGTCTATGGGGGGGGGGGGGGGTTATGACCCTAGCCCCCCCTGCCTACGCCACTGAGGGGAGGGGAGGGGTCTTCGGACTGATGGCGGTGTGTGACAAGTGGGGGGGGGGGGGGTCAGAGAGTGTGACGTTACACTTTTGCAAAAGTATACTTTTTCACAATTTTAGCCGGAAGGGGGTGGGTGTGTAAGCACGGCCTGTAGAGGCGGATAAAACGTGAAGCGTTGTAAAGTATGTAAAGTGGTGATGTTGACACTGATGCGATCAGAAAACGAATGACGTCACTAACTTCAGCCGGCTAGCCGAGCAGGCGGCCAATATGGTCCACACATCGACTGTAACACACTGAAACACTGACACCATAATCGTGTGTGTATCGATCAGTCAGAGTGACCGCCCCTTAAAATGTGTTACCGCACATAGATATTTTAAAATGCTTTACTTAGGCTAGACTAGATATTATTGTGTTTTAGTGAGTCGGGTCTGAGCAGTGCACATACAAACATAAAATAAAGGCTCTATAAAATTGACTTCCGCACTAGGGTGAATGATAAGCTCTGCTCTAACGCACCATTATTTACCATGCATGGCTCTTAAAAAGGCAGAACAATAAATGAAAAAAACATGTCTTTGAAAGAATAAGTTACACAACGTCATGACATGGTTGGCTTTAGGTTAAGTTGTCCAACATGCGACATGAGGAGTTGGGGTGGAAGTGATAAACTATGAAGCACATACGGTGGTATGTATGATACAATGCGGCACTAAACTACACAAAAATATCATGGTTACATTTCACAGCACTGGAAAGTTCAAAACGACTTTCTAGCACTCAAGAGACTGTCTAGCACACAGGAAACTGTCTAGCACACAGAAGAACTAGATGATGTGCAGGAGACTGTCTAGCACACAGGAGACTGTCTAGCATACAGGAGACTGTCTAGCATACAGGAGACTGTCTAGCACACAGGAAACTGTCTAGCACACAGTAGACTGTCTAGCACACAGGAGACTGTCTAGCACACAGGAGACTGTCTAGCACACAGTAGACTGTCTAGCACACAGTAGACTGTCTAGCACACAGGAGACTGTCTAGCACACAGTAGACTGTCTAGCACACAGGAGACTGTCTAGCACACAGTAGACTGTCTAGCACACAGGAGACTGTCTAGCACACAGGAGATTGTCTAGCACACAGTAGACTGTCTAGCACACAGTAGACTGTCTAGCACACAGGAGACTGTCTAGCACACAGGAGATTGTCTAGCACACAGTAGACTGTCTAGCACACAGTAGACTGTCTAGCAGGAGACTGTCTAGCACACAGGAGACTGTCTAGCACACAGGAGACTGTCTAGCACACAGTAGACTGTCTAGCACACAGGAGACTGTCTAGCACACAGGAGACTGTCTAGCACACAGAAGACTGTCTAGCACACAGGAGACTGTCTAGCACACAGTAGACTGTCTAGCACACAGGAGACTGTCTAGCACACAGGAGACTGTCTAGCACACAGTAGACTGTCTAGCACACAGTAGACTGTCTAGCAGGAGACTGTCTAGCACACAGTAGACTGTCTAGCACACAGGAGACTGTCTAGCACACAGTAGACTGTCTAGCACACAGGAGACTGTCTAGCACACAGGAGATTGTCTAGCACACAGTAGACTGTCTAGCACACAGTAGACTGTCTAGCACACAGGAGACTGTCTAGCACACAGGAGATTGTCTAGCACACAGTAGACTGTCTAGCACACAGTAGACTGTCTAGCAGGAGACTGTCTAGCACACAGGAGACTGTCTAGCACACAGTAGACTGTCTAGCACACAGTAGACTGTCTAGCACACAGTAGACTGTCTAGCAGGAGACTGTCTAGCACACAGGAGACTGTCTAGCACACAGGAGACTGTCTAGCACACAGTAGACTGTCTAGCACACAGTAGACTGTCTAGCACACAGTAGACTGTCTAGCAGGAGACTGTCTAGCACACAGGAGACTGTCTAGCACACAGTAGACTGTCTAGCACACAGGAGACTGTCTAGCACACAGGAGACTGTCTAGCACACAGGAGACTGTCTAGCACACAGTAGACTGTCTAGCACACAGGAGACTGTCTAGCACACAGTAGACTGTCTAGCACACAGTAGACTGTCTAGCAGGAGACTGTCTAGCACACAGGAGACTGTCTAGCACACAGGAAACTGTCTAGCACACAGTAGACTGTCTAGCAGGAGACTGTCTAGCACACAGGAGACTGTCTAGCACACAGGAGACTGTCTAGCACACAGTAGACTGTCTAGCACACAGTAGACTGTCTAGCAGGAGACTGTCTAGCACACAGTAGACTGTCTAGCAGGAGACTGTCTAGCACACAGTAGACTGTCTAGCACACAGGAGACTGTCTAGCACACAGGAGACTGTCTAGCACACAGGAGACTGTCTAGCACACAGGAAACTGTCTAGCACACAGAAGAACTAGATGATGTGCACACGATACAGAAAGTCAATCTATTTTTGGACATCTACACAGTAAGCATAAAACATCATTAAAGTAATACAAGAATTTCAAAGATTGAAACAAGCTTTATATTTATAATTAATAAAATATACTCGCAAATAATATGGTGTATCTTTTCTTACAGTCTTTCTTGGAATTAGTAAATGACATTATAGTAAAACAAAGTAGTTTTTAGATAGAATTTTACACTGTTTGTCTAGAGGCCAGAAATCAACTTAGGTATATAATATTATGTACATGTGATCTGTTTCATCAACATTTTCTAGCTGTACTTATGTGTAAGTTAAACACATTTGAGAATGTGTTCCATCGACAATCTACCAGCTGTATGTATGTATGAGCTAAAACACATTTGAGAATGTGTTCCATCAACAATCTACCAGCTGTACGTATGTATGAACTAAAACACATTTGAGAATGTGTTCCATTGACAATCTACCAGCTGTATGTATGTATGAGCTAAAACACATTTGAGAATCTGTTACATCAACAAACATTCAATACGGCAGGGTGTGCAACAATGGGCAGCTTACATATATGGCTTAAGAAACATTTATTGATTGAAAAAATCAACAATTGGTATTTTGTTTGATCCACATGCAGACATGTGTTGTTTTTTTTACACGTCCCCGTAAAGGATTTCTAAATTCTGTATCTTTAAGTCTATACACTGTAGCAACATACAGAGTGGCACTACCACAACGTGAACCACAGTGGCATCGTACAGAGTATCATAGACAGTGTCATTCACTAGACCAACACATACCTTGTAGCACTCACTAGACCAATACATACCTTGTATCATTCACTAGACCAACACATACCTTGTATCATAGACAGTGTCATTCACTAGACCAACACATACCTTGTAGCACTCACTAGACCAATACATACCTTGTATCATTCACTAGACCAGCACATACCTTGTATCATAGACAGTATCATTCACTACACCAACACATACCTTGTATCATAGACAGTATCACTCACTAGACCAACACATACCTTGTACCATAGACTGTATCATTCACTAGACCAACACAAACCTGTATCACTCACTAGACCAACACATACCTTGTACCATAGACAGTATCATTCACTAGACCAACACATACCTTGTACCATAGACTGTATCATTCACTAGACCAACACATACCTTGTATCATAGACAGTATCATTCACTAGACCAACACATACCTTGTACCATAGACTGTATCATTCACTAGACCAACACAAACCTGTATCACTCACTAGACCAACACATACCTTGTACCATAGACAGTATCATTCACTAGACCAACACATACCTTGTATCATTCACTAGACCAACACATACCTTGTATCATTCACTAGACCAACACATACCTTGTACCTTAGACTGTATCATTCACTAGACCAACACATACCTTGTATCATTCACTAGACCAACACATACCTTGTATCATTCACTAGACCAACACATACCTTGTACCTTAGACTGTATCATTCACTAGACCAACACATACTTTGTATCATTCACTAGGACAACACATACCTTGTATCATTCACAAGACCAACACATACCTTGTATCATTCACTAGACCAACACATACCTTGTATCACTCACTAGACCAACACATACCTTGTATCATAGACAGTATCATTCACGAGACCAACACATACCTTGTATCACTCACTAGACCAACACATACCTTGTATCACTCACTAGAACAACACATACCTTGTATCATTGACAGCAGCTGTCACAACAGGATCAACAGGTTTCTCTTGCTCAGGTTTATTGTTGTTGTCCTTTGAATCCTCATTAGACCTCCTCTTGACTTGATGATGTGTCAACACACCTTCATGTACCCAATTCTTGAGATGTTCAATTGAATTCCTTTCCTCTTTAACACCAAAGTCATTCAAGTTGTTTTCTTTAAATTGCTTTAATCCATTTTGAAAAGAAAAGACTTGCAGATTGTGATTGTTTTTTAGATGAGATTTATAGGGTTTCTGTGTGTTTTGTTTATGTATCTCCACATAAAATGGCTGGTTTCTTAAATAAGAAACACTATAATCATCTAACCCATCTTGTCTCGGATGAGATGACACGACAAGTTGTATGTAATAAATTGAGACAAATATTATAAATAGAATTTGCATTGTCCCACTGAACCATTAAAGTGTTATTTTTTAAACACATTCAATTTTACTGTAAATTATATTCTCTTGTCTATGTTGAAATCTCTAATTTTGCACTGCAAAAAAAATTGAAAAAAGTTTACATTAGGTCAAAACAATAAGATGTATATATTTAAAAAAATCTTTAAAAAGCAAAGTCTTCTTCTTCTTCGTTCTTAATTATTAGTGTTGAAGGGGATCGAGATTTATCTGCCAGTGCGTTTGAACTCGAGACTTTGTTCGGATTTATCAACCATGAGCTTTTTGCCGACTCGACCACGCCTCCAACACAATTAAGCGTTACGTGTCAACTAGTTATGCGCCATTGAGGCCATTGACTTCGATTTCAGCCTGCTTTTCTTTTTGGATTTGCTTCCATAGCCTTTGTCCAACCAAGAACAAACTACAAGGCAGCAGTTGTTTAATTTTTGAGTTGTCTCTCCTAGAAGAGTGGCTGTCCCCAGTTAACGAGCCTCATCTGCCCGGGGGTTCGAACTCGAGACTTTTCGGTTTAGCAGCCATGAGCTTTACCAACTCCACGCCGACCCCATAAAAAGCAAAGTGAATGTTGTAATTTTAAGCTTATGTTCTTTCATGTTTAAGTTATACAAAATAAATACTGACATAATACTTTCATACAGATCACTGGAAGTTTGATAGAGATATTATGTTTCCCTGATGTTCATCATGTTTGGTAGTAGCAATATGTTGTTTGTAAACATAAGAAGTTTAATGTTTGCCAATGGATTTAGCTTTTCTGTTTTCAAATTAGAGTTAAATTAGTTTTGTTATAAGACAATGTTAGAGCTTATAAAACAGATCTAATATGTCCAAGAATTTATAATCATATGGACAAAGAGTACAGAGTGCCATATTTAGGCAGAAAAGTTTAGTAAAATCTAGGCTAATTAATTTGGTTTGTAAATTAAAATTAGTACTTTTAATTAAAATGTACATCTTGTAATAATATTAATATAGCCCTTAGTACAAATATAAACAATGAAACAAATGTTTTTAAAATATTTAGGCCCTAAAGATTTAATTTAATATTTCTATCAGCAACATGCTGTCTGTGGACACAGGGGACTAACCTAGTCCCGACTAACCTAGTCCCCTAATGAAATAGATAAAAAAAAATAATAAACTCATTGACCTTACAGTGCTACAGCCACTGCAAAGTACCAGACTCTAGTAATGTGTAGGCCTAGCTACTTAGCTAGGTAAAATAATATTTTATTATTAGTATTATTTATTACAGTTATAGTATTTGTATTGTAGCACATTGAAATGATAGTGATAATATGGTAATCTATGCATTAAATCTGCCGAGGCTAGTAATGTGCGAAAAAGTTGCCTCATTGTTAAGGCTTTAATTAAGTATAGTATTGTGATATATTTGTGTCAAATATTATAGATAACGGAATAATAAACCAAAATCAATGGTTAAATATATCAATACTAGCCGACCCGCGGCGTATCACACGCCGCTATTTAATTTTATTTTCTACTTTTAAGTAATTCATAATTTGTGAATTCGACAGTACCAATGCTGTCACTGAAAATATTTGCTTTAAAACACTAAAACCCTCCTTCCCCCCCCCCGTGAAAGCAGCCTCCTCTTAGCTACCTCCCCTAAGTTTAAAATCGTTTCGAACTAAATTATCTGCCCCTAATAGCCGTCACTAAACCCGACTCTACGATTGTAAACATTTAGCGTGAACCACAGCTCACCAGACTTCCTAGAGAGGATAGAGGGGGCTGCTAGGTGCGCTTACAGCTTGGTGTTTTCTAACGTCTCCAAGAAGAGAAATATATATAGATAGGCCAGAAATTAACTTTAAACAGCAGTGTTTGCGAGCAAGATTTCCTATATAAAATGCAGCCATCTGTAAGTTAGAGTGGTTTCCCCTGAATCTCAAACTATAATTAACAAAAAAATACAAAATACAAACAAGATGGCCATGACAGGGGGACTTCTGACCGGGATTCAAAGGGACAACTCGAAATATCATCCAAATATTTTTGTAACTTTCAAATCATAAATCCTCATAGTCATAAAAATGTGAAATAATTACTAAAATTGGTAATCTATCGTTTAAGGTGCGTAAAATCGGCCAAGGCTAGTAATGTGCGAAACAGTTGCCTCATTGTTAATGCTTCAAATAGAAGTATATTGTGATATATTTGTGTCAAATATTAGAGATACAGATAACTGAATAATAAACTAAAATCAATGGCTAAATATATCAATATAGGCCAGAAATTAACTTTAAACTCGCAGTGTGTGCGAGCAAGATTTGCTATATAAACATCTGCCATCTGTAAGTAAGTAGTTTCCCCTGAATCTCAAACTGTAGTTTTACCACACAAAAAAACAGGATGGCTGCTAAAGGCTAAAAGTAAATGATCTTGGCTGCATCTGATGAAAAAATTGCTAGTCATTATTTTTTACTGAAAAGTTTTAAGTTTTAATACAATTGTTTAAAAACAGGTAGGCCTACATTTACTACATTATGTTTAATTTTAAATTTTAATGATACCTAAATGATTAAGTGAAACTTTGATAAGTTTTGTAAATTTTAAAACATAAATCCTCCTTAAAATGTCAAATAATTACTAAAATTTAATGAGCCACCTTTTTTTCACATTACTAAAATTTAATGAGCCACTTTTTTTTCACATTAGTAATTACTAATTAGAGTAGTCTCGGACGATTTTACGTACCAAAAACATAGATAGATTACCCTGACTGGCCTTACTTTACTTTTATTTTTATTAGTTACTTAGTAGGCCTACTTAGTATACTTATTTATTATTTACTTAAGTATACTTAGTAACTTACTACTTACTCAGTAGTAGTAGTACTACTACTAGTAGTAGGCCTAACTAAGTAAATAGTAAATAGTAAATAAATTTAAATACTCACTCCTTAGAATCTAGATCTAGATCTAGTACTTAGTAACAGTACCAATACTCCCGATTAATTTGATCTCGCCTACGCACTGTCTGTAGAGTATTGTGGTGCATCCAACTGATTTAATAATGAATGCTGAATGATCCTGATTATGATTTAGCCTAAAAATACTAAAATAATATTGCACGTAAACATACATAACTACTTTTGACCCGGAAGTACAAAAGAAAAACATTTCGTAATTTTAATAATAAACTAATAAACTTCAAGGATTCTTTTTTCTAGATCTAGTCTAATTTTTAATGAATATTATATTAAAGAACATAAGAAACATCGTTTTAAAACATGTATTGCATGCTATTTTTAAGCGTAAAAGTGTGCTTACGTGTTAAAAAATACAATCGACTGAACAGGTGCTATTTTGGTGATTCTCGATTTATTTGTAATTTAGTATAACCTAGGACCTAGAATCTAAATCTAAAAGCTGGATTTTAACAAAAACAGATGCAAGACAAAATAAAATGGCTGAAAAGTTCGAAGCTTTAGAACAGCAACTTGAATTGTTTATTGAAAATACACGGCAAATGGGTATAATGGTTGGTGACTTTCAACCACAAGGGCAGACTGTTTTAAATCAAAAAATGTAAGCTGGAATTTTAATAATAAATAATACTAAAAAGTAAAAAGTACTAGAGTTAGAGTAGTCTAGAATCTAGATCTGGATCTAAAGTCTAAAGTAGTACGATTTAGATTAATTTAGAATGTTAGATCTGGTAAAACTCCATTTTATTTTAGCCAGCGTAGCCTATAGACTATAGACCTATATTGGGGGGCTAGATCTATATGTATAGGCCTATATATTATTTAATATTATTTATATTTTATTCGTCGATTCACGTTCACTTCCAGTCAAGCGTATTTTATTATAAACATAACCGAAACACACAAAAACGTTAGGAAAACACTAAGATTAGACTTAGAACTAGAATCTATTTATTTTCTAGATGTTAAATAATAAATATTATTAAATATTATATTATTATAATTATATGAATGTGAGTTTTAATTAGAAAAAGTAGGGCCTAAACAAAAAAACAACATAAAAAACTAGGACAGTTCATAGGTGAGTTCATAAAAGTTTATTTATAGCATTCATTCAATATTCCAAATTTGGATTTTTCTCAAGTTTTGACCCATCAGAGTTGGGTGGACTCAGGGACGATGTACTGACTTGAACCTGAATTCGAACTCGAGACTTACCTGTTAGTAGTCCAGCTCTCTACCGCTAGACCACTTTGTCCCGCATGATATTGTTGACTTGGATTTGGATTAAAAACGTTTTTTTTTTTTTAGATTTTGCAATCAAAGCGACCATAAAAATAATAAAAACTTAAGCCTAAAAATAATTCAGAAATTTTGTTGTTAGAATCAATGTTATAAAAGTTGCAAATCCAGAGTACTTAAAAAAAATTTTTTTTTGAGTTCAAGGCTACATTTCTATTTATTTTCATCAAGACTAACTTTTACTAAAAGTTAAACATTGATTTGCTGTATAGGAACTTCATGATCAATGTTCTTTAAACCCCACTTTGTTCTTGAACTTATAATCTGTGCTCAAAACTTAGCTGATTAAAATTTTAAAATTTAAAACTACATAACCTAGAATCTAGTTCTCTTGATTATTTAATATTTACATTTTCAATTTCAGTGATAAAATGAAGAGAAAAAAATTATTTTGGCTTTATTAAAATTAAAGTAAGGCCTACTATGGAAAATAGGCTACTAAAAATATCAAATAGACTGCATCCAGTCTTTAGTTTAAGTCAGACCCAAGTTTTTTGGCCTAACCACATTTATTTTAAATTTTAATATGTTTAATGAACGATTCAAGTCTATTCATGGCTGAGTCTATTGACCAATTATAGTTAATTAGCTTAATAGTAGTTAATAGCCAACATCACAATTTATAAAAACACTAAAGGCCTTTGAAAAAATTAACAAAACAAGTTAATTAAAAAGTCTAGTGACATTTAAGCGCAATTTCCTTATGTTATCTAAAAATAGCTCTGTCGTAGCGTAAATCAAGAGCAGGGTTAGTAAAACCATTGGTTAGTTATTAAAACGTTTTTTATTTTAAAAAATTTCAGTATTTTACATGTTTTATTTACAACGAGCCGACCCGCAGCGTATCATACGTCGCTATTTAGTTGTTTTATTTTCTACTTTTCAGTAATTCATAATTTGTGAATTCAACAGTACCAATGCTGCCACTGAAAATATTTGCTTTAAAACACTAACCCCCCTTTCCCCTAACCCTACCCCCCCCCCCCCCCCCCCCCCGTGAAAGCAGCCTCCTCTTAGTTATTTCTTAGTTACCTCCTGTAAGTTTAAAATCGAACTAAATTATCTGCCCCTAATAGAAACCCGACTCTGCCCCTAATAGCCGTCACCAAACCCGGTCTCCGATTGTAAAATGTAAACAGCGTGAACCACAGCTCACCTAACCATGTGAGGGGGGTGGGGGTCGGGGGGGATGGTAGCGATAGAGAGGAAGAGAGGGGACTGCAAGGCGCTCGCTTGCAGCTTGTTTTCTAACGGCTCCCAGAAGAGAATTATATATATAGATAGAGTAACATGACTAAAAACCATTGCGTGCCTAGCTACCGAACGTGATGTTGCAGCCATTGAACGTGATGGCGCAGTTATTGAACATGATGACGCGTGTGGGGTGGTTGGATAAAATGCCTACTAATTCGGTCCAAATTTTAATTAATTAAAAAAGTTTTTGTGACCGAACGAAAGGATATTTTTGAAAACTTTCTTCGGCAATATTGTTCTAAATTATGGCAGGAATCGATTGGTACATGTTTCAAGTCGCTAAGTGGTCTGGTTGCCGAGATATGGGCCAAAAACTGCATTTTGTCGAGTTTTTTTGGCTTTTCCGGGAAATCCATGAAAGAAACCCGGAATTTTTTAGCCTATGTTCATCCTGGTAACTTGCTTAACATATTTGCTTTTGGAACTAGTCCTCGATATTACTTCGTTGAGGAGGAGATACGACTTAAAGCTGCGGACACACATCCATCCATTCCCAGAAAAGACGAGTTAATAAACGCAATTCTCCAGAATGGAAATTGCGCTGAAACTAAACGGATACTGTCATTATTAACTATTAATAAAAATCTGTTCACAATGATTGATTAAATTTGTATAAAACTAGAAATGATTGTATGTGCATGTTCTTATGATAGTTGTTTCAAGTTATTCTCTTCCACATTATTTTAGTATTTATTGGGTAGTTTTCAATATATATATATATATAATAATTTGCTATCATTGCTTGTTTTTTTTCTTGTTTTTTTTTAACCTTTATATAGACAAACCATGGTAACAGAAATGAATGAGATTGACAAACTTCGTACTCAAATTCTGGATGTACAAGTACCCCTTGAAGTATTTGAGTATGTTTACAACTACATCTTAAAATGTTTTAAAAAAATTACTGCACATTAAAGCATGATGATACTTTATTTTCATTTCTGTTTCAGCTATATTGATCAGGGTAGAAATCCTAACCTTTACACCAAAGACTGCTTAGAAAAAGCTTTGGCCAAAAATGAGCAAGTAAAGGGAAAAACTGATAATTTGAAGGTATTAGCAGGATTTTTAAAAATTATCTTTGAGACAACTAGGCATTTTAGAACATTATCAAATTACAAAATCATCTTCAAACAATTTATTTTGTTTACTTTTCTGCCAAAATTAAAACTGAAATATATTTTTCTACCAGAGGTTTAAAGCTATGCTGCTGCTTGAATTGTCTAAAGTGTTTCCATCTGAAATGGATATGTACAGAGCTTTAAAGCAAGGCAGGGGCCCAACATAACTTTCAAGCATTCAGAAATTATACTCATGTTTATAAAACTTGATATTTCCTGACAACCTTTGGAGAATTCAGTGAAGTTACTTGACCAGAAGGTTTGAGTGAACATTCACTCCCTAATAAACACAATATGGACTCTGGTATGGTTATTTCTACTCATGTCCCATGCATTCTTTTCTTATTGTCAAATATTTACATTGCTTGTTCACACCAATGTGTGACTCAAGACTCAGTCAGTCCTGTAATTTGATATTTAATGAATGTTTGTAAAGACCAAATAAAAATTGTTTTAGTGAATTGTCATATACATTTCATATTTGGTTGAATGACTGTACAATTGAAAATAAATATAAAATGTTATGAATATCTCTTGTCCTTGAGTTATTAATTGGTATTAAACTGTTATTCCGCACCTTCGTTTCTCAAGGTTGATTATCTGAAGATTCAAGCAAAATTATATCAAAATTCAACTAGATTATTTGATTAACATATTTAGTACTCTAAATATCTAGAATACATACATTTTTAGTGCTCATACTTTGTATTTAACACCCTATTCAGTGCATGTAGGAATTCTTTAAAATATACACTAGGCAGTTTAAAAAAATTACCTGTGTGACTTGGGTATGAACAACTGTCTTCATTTCTTCTGTGAGGTTGTGAGATGTGGTCAGTGTCTATAAAAATATAAAAGTATAACAGTATTTATGTTCAAAAATTTAGAGCAATCTTTATAATTGAACTGTGACAAAGCATAATTGTTGGTGGTGAAAAAATCTTGTCTCAACATCCCCCACCCCCCAATTGGCGTAGCTACATACCTTTAGCAGTACCATACTGACATTGAATAAGTTTCTACAGCAGGCTGCATAAATTGTATCACATGGCTTCACATTCTTTTCTGCCAATACATTCTCTATAATCTTTTTAAGTTTCTGGTTGGATTAAAAAAAAAATCTTTTTAATTTCTGTCAGTATACTCTAAAACAACAAAAGGACTTTCTATAAGCACACTGAAGAGCCATTTGCAAAAATGTTTTGATATATGTACAAAGCTTTAAAGCAAGGCAGGGGCCCACCATGAATTGTTTTAGATTATGGATAAACTATAACTTTAGGTAAATTTAATTTCTTATAAAAACGTTTATGAGCAATTTAAGGGGTGTTGATTTTTCCATGTTTCTAATTTATTTGTTACACTTTCCACATAGAATACAGATTCTTTAATAGATTTTATGGAGCGTTTCTTGCTTATGCAAAAAACTTACTTTTCATATTGGTAACTTGTTTTGGATCATAGAAAAGACATTTAAATATGGTCAGATTTATATGTAATTCTAAGCGATACTCCAAGTATTTGTTTATTGACAAAGAATTAAATTACTTATTTATTTAAAGAAGTATTTGGTCTTACCATTTTATGCCTTTCTGATCTTTTTAACTTTTCAGACTTTTGTTTCTCAGAAGAACTTTCCTGATTACATTTTGGAGTTTCTTTAGTTGGGAAATTTTTCATCAAGTCTATTTCACTTGAAGAACTATTGTTTAATTTGCTAAAATTAAGTGGAAATGTTCCAGCAGCTAAAAAAAATACATTTCAAATAATCAATAGAAGAAGAATCATATTTTTTTTACCTTACTTATAGATAATGCAACATGAATCAAAAAACTATTACCTTGCCATAGATACAGTTCATTTTAAGACCAATGTAAGACTTGATTTTTTTATGACTTTTAAACACATAAAACTAATTTTAAAATAGTTAAACTGTAAATTGGCTATTGTCTGACCTGATTGTGTAGATTTTCTAGGTGATCTCCTGACTGGAGGGTCTAGCGAGGTAAGAGCCCAGGGTACAGGAACTGATGCATCTGATTTGCCTAATTCACAAGAGGTGGCAAATACATTTTTCTTTAGACTTTTAGAAGAATCCAACTTAGATGATCCTGGCGTATTTTGATTTAAATTTTCTCTCTTCAGACTGGTAGGCTCAGCCTTAGATATAACCTCATGTGTAAAGAGGCAAGATAGACGCTTTCTTGGACTTTTTCTTGTGGGCTCTGGTGGTATTTGGATGGGGTTTGAAGATCTCTTTCTTTTGCGACTTGTAGTTTCACATGAGGAGCACGAGGTTGGAATGATCTGGGTTGATGTTTTTAAAGGACTACTTAGTCGCCCTGAAGATGGTTTTTTGAATGAGTTATCAGATGAACTTGATTGGTGGGATTTACTGGAACAAAGAAAAAAATAAAGATTTACATTAATTTGTTAGCTATAAATGCATTTGAAAATGTTGAGAAAAGTTAAAAATTAATGTTTTTTAAATAGTGTATTTGATTTTTGAGACATCACCATATTGAATATTTCAGCTCATGTATTAATATCTTACCCATTTAAGTTGTTAAACTTTTCCCTGGACATCAACCGCTGCATTACTGTTGCTCTTCTGGGTGATGACCTAACAGGTGATAGCCGGGGTTTCTGCCTCTTTTTTATTGGAGACAAAAAAGAACAACAGGTGTCTTGGAAGTTTCCTTGGTCACGAATCTTTGTGTGTATTTTTTCAAGGTGTAGATCATTTTCATCTGTATAGTAGCTGTAAATGTGTATTAAAGAAATATTTTTAATCCTTGTTACGTACTAAACAAAAAATTTTGAGCTCTATTTCTGACTCAAGAGTCTGTAGGACATCTTTGAGTACATCCAGCTCTGATGAGTTCCTCATCTGAGTCTGAGAAAGTAAAGACAGCTGGGCATTGGCTGACCACTCAATCAATTATTATGCTGGGTCAGAAAAACAAATTGACTCACTGTATTACGATAGAACCAAGCACAATTTGTGACTCAGCCATCATAAATCATTGGTTGATAATTGAAAAAAAAAATCACTTATATACAAAAATTGAAAGACTGGAAATTGAATCATTATTTACTGAATCATTACTTACTAAATATCATGATATCTAATCTGTTGACTGTCTGGCCAATTAACATTTATATCTTGCTGACTTTCTACACGACACAGGCCTCGTCCTTTCTAAAGAATAAAATGCGCAAGTTATTAACTTAACAAAAAAACTCTATTCTATGAATATTCATCAAATGAACTGGTAATTTAAAAAGTGTAATGATAAATAACATATGTATACACAGATATACACACACATATACATATATACGCACAAATACATATATATATATATATGATTCTCATTAGTTCCCAGAACACATGCAGTAGTCAGGTTATCACAGAAAGTTGTTTCAATTTTTGCTGGTCTCTGGCAACTTTCTAAGCAGTTTGACAAGACCTCATTTTGTCATGGGTTGATTTGGGACAATTTCCTATGTCTAAAAGAAGGCAATCTTTGTCTTCCATTTCAGTTTTAAAAATGTAGAAACGTCATTTTTTCTTCACTCATCAAAATTTTCCACTTATAAAATAATGCCAACACTAGCTTTTGGATAAATTAAAAAGTAGCACATTAATTTAAACAATTTCATATACATGTAAATAAAAATAAAAAGTTTTCCAAAAAGCTTTTCTTGGACTCACAAGTTTAACAGGAGTTTTTGGTAGAGTTATGTGACTTCCATCAGGTTTAAAAATCTGCAGCACATCATTAATATCAAAGTCTGTTGAATCTTACAAAAAAAAAAAAAAAAAAACCAAAAATACATTGTTACCAAGTTTTAAATACTTTGTTTCAGCAAGTCACACCAAAAAGTTAGACAACAAATAAAATGGCCTACTTTTTTTCTTTTCCAAATCAGCCAAAGACAAGGGAGAGGAGACCACACTGTCCATGGAGGGATAACTGTGCAGTGACTTCCTTGTTGAATCTTTTGCTTGTAAAGTTAACTTTTCAGGAAATTTTGAACTATCTAGGTGTGATTCTAAATAATAATTTTAAAAAGACTGTAATTAGTATCTATGGCTTGTCCTATAATTTCTCCATTTCTAATATTCATTCTGTTAAAAAAAACAAGGACTTACATGACACCGTATAATTTATGTATTAATCACATAAAAGTACAATTAAGTAATATAAAGTATGAGTTGAAAGTATATCTATTAACATATTTTCAACATTTCAACCAAATTTTGTTAATTAATATCCATACCTATTATTTAAAAAAAAATATGTATCAATATTTTAAAGTAAAATTATAAAAATGATTTACATGACAGAGCTTAGGTTTAATAAAAAAATTTCTTCTACACATATAGCATGAATTTTAACAGTTACATTTGTTAAGGTTCAGATTTTGGAAAAAGGTTAATAAATAATCATTTCTTATACCTGGGATCCAGTGAATGTACTGTGTTGATTTTGGGCGGGTGTTATCTGTCATGTAGTCTTTAAGTGTGCGACAGTTACTGAAAGCAGCAGTCAATATATTATCTTGTACTTTTGCCACAGTCTCCAGCACTTGTGTTCTTTCAGCAATGGCTAGCTCTTGTGTACAAGAAAATAGAAATACATTCATTTCAATGTGAAGTTGATCATCCTAAGGTTTCTCAATTAAATTACCCAAGTAAAAGGCCACCCTACAAACTTAAACTTGACAAGTGAATAAAATTAAACCTACCTTCAGTATCTTTAAGCAACTCCTGACTTCTCTGCAGCAAGTTCAACATGGTTGTTAATTTTTCTCTCTAAAACAGTATAAAATTATAACATTATGCCAGAAACACTAACTTTACTTTTTAAATTCCTACAACAAATAATTGAACTTCCTTTCTTTGCTTCATTCTTAGAGAACAATTCAATGTAACCCTCACTCAGTGGGGATGCTTTTACCCACTGAGGTGTTGTGGTTAAGACGGGCTGACCCTGAGATTAAGTACACACCGACGCCGACAGTTGTTGTCAAGTACTCGTTTATTTATAGCATCGAGCCATGACGGCGATGCAACACAAAACGAACTAGCCAAGATAGACCAAAAGATCCAAACAATCCAAAAGACCAAAAGATCAAAAGATCAAAAGATCAAAATAGAAACAGAAACAGAAACTGTAGCCCTAAAACAAATGTAAAATAAAAAAGTTACATTCAGGACAACACCACGTGAAAGCTACAATATACACGGGTACAATAAATTATGTTTTCGGCCAGTACACAGTACTGCCAACAAGTACCAATAAGTAGTACTACAAAATAAATACTTAATTTAATACATCACCCTAACTAGTGTGCACATGCAGCACTAGCAGGAATACATAAGTAAGTACTTTAACAAACATAATTTAAATATCTACACTACCTTCATTAGGTCTACATCTTGGTCCACAGACAGCAGCCTTGCGTGTGCGACACGACTAGGCACATGTCACATGACATGGAACACAGGTAATTTCGCTCACAAAAGCATAAAAAAACGTCAACAGTTCAGTTGCAGTCCCACAGGGGCCGCAACCCAATGAATAAAAACTTCATAGTTTTATCCCCCTTTTGGCTGGTAACCATATGTGTTACACAGCCCCCCTCACAAATAAATGTACAATGTTACATTTACATTTACATTTACACTCATACATAATAGTACTTAAAAAAAAAAGTTCAGTACACTAGTACACAGACATTAAGTCCTTTCAACTTAAATAGATTATTCCCGGCAAACCGGTAGAGGCTCCAGTGCAGGTACTGGTCACCACTTGATGCGCCAGGTTGAGTCGCTCGACGGGTCGTCGTTGACGGGTTGACCTCCGCAGCTCCGCTGGTGGTTCTGGGTTGATCCAAGAGTCATCCTCGTCCGATGCCTCGTCCCTCGCATTCACCTCATTCAGATGTGGGGCTGGCCTGACCATCTCCTTTTCTTGTCCGTCCCGGGCGACCACCTCGGGCACGAAAGGCGTTGCCTCCGGCCGAAGTCTGGTTGGGACCACTACCTTGATTGTCAGTTCCTCACCTTCATCTGCCTCACTGGTTGGGACGATCTCTCTCCGTCGCTCCCCCTCCGCCACAGTGGGTTCAGCACTCGACATTGTATAGTCGGGTCGCTGCCAACCACGGCGGCGTCCACCACGTCGTCGGCCTCTCCTCCGGCGGCGTCTCCGACCTCTGCTTGTGTCATGTCTGTCTCCCAAGCGACGATCTTGCTCGCGCTGAGACTGACATGCATAGTGTGGCTGTCTACCCTTCTCACGCGCACCCTCCGGCTGCAACCCTCCTCCACGGCGGAACACCCGACAGCCGTACCTCCAGCTGCTAGGCGAGGTAACCTGAGCTGTGGTTGCTCGACACTGTGATGATCTCGGTGGCGTAAACTTGGGCTGGGAGCTTGGCAGAACACGCATCAGCATCCGCTCCCCGACGCTGATGGACTGGCGTTTCCCTGCTGCTGACCCCGTTGCCTAGCTGCTTTTCTCGGACAGTCGCGGACGAAGTGCTTCGTGGACCCGCACCCGTAACAAGCTCCTCTGGAGGGCTGTTGTTTCCGGGCTAGGATATCTGCCACCTTCTCCGCCAGACGGTCGAGTTGTTCCTCCGTGAGCATCAGCGGCGTAGTCTCCTGGCGACCAGCTACCGTTACTGCGTCGACCTTCTGCGCCAGACGGTCGAGTTGCTCCTCCGTGAGCATCAGCGGCGGCGTCGTCTCTTGGTGAACAGCTGCCGTTACTGCGTCGACCTGGATAGTCCTGTTAGCTGCTGCCGTGGCTACGACTGGGGACTCAGCTGTCCCGTCCAGCCTTTTAACAGCTTTCAGAACGTCCTCCACCTTCGGACTGGCTTCCCCTGCGAAACCAAATGTGCCGCGAAGTTCGAGCGCCAGAAGAGGTGAAACCCCCTTGCAGAAAGTGTGATACACCTTCTTCTGGGCATCGGCCTCAGTAAAGATACGCTGCTGGTTTAGCTTCGTCATCTCTGACCACAGTCGGCAGAGAAATTCCGACGCTGACTCCCTTGGATGTGGAGTGAGTCGGCTGAACTGCAGATACCTGTCTTCGGCACATCTGGTGTCGCCAAAAGTGCTTTGTAGGAGGCATAGCACTTCCTCTGGACTCGCAGCTTGCTTCACCCGCTCATAGGCAATCCCTCTCAGGCTGCCTAAAACGGGTGGCAACGGGTTCGGAACGCTGGTGTTCCGCAGCAAGCATTGAACTTGGGTTTCCCATTCCGGGAAATTCACCTCCCCTCCTCCAGTGGGTGGAAGGCCGGTGAACACACTCAGCTTGCTGTTGTGTGCTGGAGCACACACCTCCACCTTCACGGGCCGCTGCGCATCTGCCTGCATCGCCGCCATCTTAGCCGTCAACTTGGCCAGCTCCTCCGTCAACTTCTCCAACGTCGGGTCGCTGTGTTCCATCCTACCTCCCAAGGTCAAGCCCCACGTTGGGCGCCAAATGTAACCCTCACTCAGTGGGGATGCTTTTACCCACTGAGGTGTTGTGGTTAAGACGGGCTGACCCTGAGATTAAGTACACACCGACGCCGACAGTTGTTGTCAAGTACTCGTTTATTTATAGCATCGAGCCATGACGGCGATGCAACACAAAACGAACTAGCCAAGATAGACCAAAAGATCCAAACAATCCAAAAGACCAAAAGATCAAAAGATCAAAAGATCAAAATAGAAACAGAAACAGAAACTGTAGCCCTAAAACAAATGTAAAATAAAAAAGTTACATTCAGGACAACACCACGTGAAAGCTACAATATACACGGGTACAATAAATTATGTTTTCGGCCAGTACACAGTACTGCCAACAAGTACCAATAAGTAGTACTACAAAATAAATACTTAATTTAATACATCACCCTAACTAGTGTGCACATGCAGCACTAGCAGGAATACATAAGTAAGTACTTTAACAAACATAATTTAAATATCTACACTACCTTCATTAGGTCTACATCTTGGTCCACAGACAGCAGCCTTGCGTGTGCGACACGACTAGGCACATGTCACATGACATGGAACACAGGTAATTTCGCTCACAAAAGCATAAAAAAACGTCAACAGTTCAGTTGCAGTCCCACAGGGGCCGCAACCCAATGAATAAAAACTTCATAGTTTTATCCCCCTTTTGGCTGGTAACCATATGTGTTACATCAACAAATTCAAAGAATTGGTGTAAAGTGTGACTGATATAAATTATAACAGTAATACCATATAATTTTTATTGTAAAAATGAATATAGTAAAACCACTGAGTATTTTAGTACCTGTTCCATGACTGGGGTATCAGACAAAAAGCTGCTGTTTGGGTTTAGCTGTGACAAAGTACTGTTTGATGTCCCTATTTTCATATGATCCTCTAGGATAGTGTGTAGATTTCTGTTTACTTCATGTGGGGACAACACAGACTTAGCAAGCACATAGGTTGGTATACTAGTGGATGGTTCATGGTTTGGGAGCAACAAAAAATATATAAACTTGACTCCATGTGCCAATGGAATTTCTTCAGGTTCTGGAATATGAAAGTTTATATCAGTCAGAACCAGACTTAGCACTGTTTATGAAATATTGACTGATTCTTGTAGACACATCACAAGCTTCTATTTAAGATTGTCCTAAGTCTATTATTGGGCTCACCTGACACATCCTGGTAATTTGCAATAATCCTCTCTTTCCATGCTCTAGTGTTCATGTTAAACAACTCTCCGCAAGTTAAAATATTGTTACCATCAGGATATACCCTGAGGCGTACCAAGAGACCAGTCTAAAATCAGACAAAAAATTATATTGTTATTGCATTTCTATATTAGAATACTGTAATAGGGATTTCATTTTGATTTAAAATAAAAACAAAATAATAATCATAAATAAGTTATCATTGTTTGTCAAGTGTATTTAAAAACAACAACAAATAAAATACTTAAAAAAAACTTTTTAAAAAAACACGTTTTTCTTGTGGACTAAAAAGTAGAAAATAACTATTTACATACATTTGATGACAAAAAACGTGGGTGCGTTCACCATCAAATTTCCCGACCCATCTGCCCGACCCACGTTTTTTGTCATCAAATGTATGTAAATAGTTATTTTCTACTTTTTAGTCCACAAGAAAAACGTGTTTTTTTAAAAAGTTTTTTTTAAGTATTTTATTTTCTCCTTTTTAGTCCGTTGCTACACATGAAAAACGTGGTTTTTAAAAAAAGTTTTTTATATAGTTTATTTTCTACTTTATCCAATGACTTGATTAAGTATGACTTGACTAAGTGTTTATAAATACACGGACTAAAAATCTTGAGCGACCAGGATTCGAACCTGGGTTGTCGCGGCCACAACGCGAAGTACTAACCACTATACGATCACGGCCAGCGCGCTCACATCGATTGGGGCCGAAGTAACTGTGTCAATAGGCCTTCAGTCTTGTCGGTATCTTTAGAAATCATGTCCTCAATTTTATGGTCCTTAGGGCGTAATTAAATTAAGCTAATTACGGTCTCTAATTGCTAGTTTTTATGATTGCATCTGAAATTGTTAGGCGAAAGTAGCCTGCATGCCAAATTTCAGATTTATAGAGCAATCAGAAGTGGGCTAATTTTCGATGTCAATTTTAACAACAAACACACGCGAAGCTGAGTTAATAAAAACGTGTTAAAATATTTTTAAAATATACATTTTTATTAATGAAATTATAAAGATTACCTGTTCCATATTTTGTATATAATCAAAAAGATCTTTTGAAGAATCATCCCTTACACCCCTAGATCGCATAAATGTACAGCTATGATTAGTTATATACTTATAATTAGATTAAGTAAGATCACAAGCAAAAAACTGACATATTCTAATTTTTTTTTTAATTAAGAAATCTGCTGTTTAAACTGAAAATAATTATGATTATGGAATCTTATTAGAAAAAAGAAATGCACAAAAAAATTACAATTGCAAAGTCCAGGAATCCACCAAGAAAAGTGGAAATGTTCTAAGATCAACCTCTTGCAAAACTTCAATAGTTCTGCCCAGCAAGGGCTGTTTGAGTTCAGGCTGAGATAACTCTCCATGTTTTTTCTGAAAGGACAAATATGGGTTCTCAATGCAGCACTAAAGAAAAAATAAACCAACTAGTTAACATACAATATGTAAACAAAGATGTAAAAACAATCTAGCTTTTATAAGAGATCAAAGAAGAAAAAAATTACATCCACTAACACTAGAAGATCTAGTAGTTTTACTATTAACACAAATGTATTTGTTAAGGTTAGAATTAAAATTTGCTGATAAATAGTAGATTTGTGTATGCATGTATAGAACAAAAGTTTAAAATAAAACTAAGTATGTCCAATAAAGAAATAAGTATATCACTGACTGTATTTCTGCTTCTTTTGTTATTTTCCATCTTGATGGGTGGGAGCTTATGCAGGAAAAATGTGTCCCAATCATCACAGTGCAGGAAGTAACCAGAAAAAACATGAGTTGTGTTTTCCTGTTTAAAAAAAATTGTTATTGATATTTGTTGATTTGTCCATTGTTTAACTAACCTTTTCAAATTTAAAAAAAGTTTTCTACTACTATATTAAATACTTGTTCAGGTAACAGTTATTACACATTTATAACATTTTAGTTTGATCTAATTAATTTCACCCACAACTCATACATTAAAAACTAGTTATAACTACAACACTAAAGTAAAAAAATTAAACTAAATTTTGAAAAAAATAATAATTAAAAACCTACCACAGGTTCATTCATAGAAATTTTCCCAGTCCACCTAATGTCTTTAAGGACCAACTCTTCACAACTGTCGACTATTTGACAATGGCCAAACTCAGCTAACTGTTTCCCTATAGCAGAAAGCTCTGGCTTCAACTTGACAAAAACTGCATGTCCATTATGCCATTCAATAAGACGTTTTAATGCTCCTGCTATGGGTATAAAACTAGAGCAACAAAAATGAGACAATTTTAGGAAGACATTTTTAAAAAAGTGAATTACAGTTACCATACATGCAAGAAAATTTTAAAGCAGATTTTATTAGAGCTAAAGCCTCAGTATTATACTGATAATAAGTTATAGTGATGAATGCCTAAATCTTTTATATGCATCTAACAAAAAGTGCTAGACTAAACAAACTTTGAGCATGATTACCTTGTAGATGTGGTTAAGTTGCAGTTGTCTAAACAGCCCATGATAAAAATCAGGTCCAGGCTGTATCCTGAAACAAACAAATCCTCAGTGTAAATACTAAAAGAAAACTGATACTTGGCTAAATATAATTCTCACCAAAATGCATTTTAAATGGGTGGGGGAATTGATAAAATAAGGGAAATGATACAAGTCGACAGTCATGTCTTCATGTCACAACAATGAAAGTGGAAATAACATACAAACCTAGATATGGCAATGTGTCGGCAGCTTCATGAAGCATAATGGCCAAGTCAGATGATTTGCCCATTGGAGAGGAAATTCTTTCAGCAAAAAAAAAAAAGGTTAACTTGTTATTTTTTTTAAAAGGATAACCTAGAGCTAATTATAAGTGTTGTCTATATTCACCAGTTACTAAATTTACTAATACAATTGTTACAAACAAAAGTTCACCTTTCTTCATTTCCTAAATTCAAGTCCAACAATCTGTGTGCTTCATCCAAAGATATCCATTCACTTTGGTGTATAACTGTAATAGGCTAAAAAAAAAATTTCAATGTTAATAATATTAACAAAATAAAATGTATCTATTAGAATTCATTAGATCTTCAGAGTAACAAAGTTTTATTCTTTTTATTTTCAGTTTTAACTAGTTCTGTCCCAATTAAGTTTAAATTTTCTCACTGACAATGACACAAAAATATATATTAATTGTGACTAATCTTGATAAGTAATTTATTTTAACCTGCTCCAAAAGTGGTCCAGTTGATATTATTCTGATTTGTGCATCTTCAGCTGATATCTTGGAAATAATTTTTTTAGCACACTTAGCTGCTGCATCCTTTGTTTCATTGTCTGTAAAAGACGTTTCATTTTGATCAATCATAAATGTTTTAAAAAATATTGGTAGAAATAACTATCAAGTGCGCTGAACATAATTGAACATAAATGCTACTGTACAATTTTTGGTACTTTCACTTAATTTTCTTACTGCTTTACAAGTGTTTGCCTTTTTTGCTGCATTTTCCTCGCTTTCACCAGCTTACTGTTTTTAAAAAACCCGACAAAGGAGGTTTGTTTCTTCCTCCTATTTAGAATGTTGCAGAGATAAGTTAAGTGATATTAATGATGCACAACTACTTGCATCTTTTTCAGATTGTTTTCCACCACTTGTCAGGAGTGTAAAACCCGCTGATCTGGTTGCTTCCATTTCAAATATTGCTCATGTTTCAAAGCAAAACATTTTGTTCAATAAACCGCTCAAAACTAGTAAGTTAAGATCTGTTCTGTGGCCGTAGTTGGGCCTACCCTTACTATATCTAGATCAGTGGGTTTTTTTTTATCTTTTAGAAAGGTAAAGAACCCTACCAGCTTCATATGCACATTTTCCAAACATTTCTTAATAAGGAAAATAAATATGATTTCTTTTAAATTCAAAACATAGGTATAGGCATATGTGCACAAAATGAGATAGTTTATATTGTTGTTTTCAGTTTATATTTAACTCAATGCAACAAGCTAGGCTGCTAGCTGGTTGGTTGAGACCACACCGGGGATTCGTTCTGATAGTGGTACAAAGTAAAGGGTCGAATAGAAATATCGTCCAAAAATAGAAATATCACAATACCAATATTTGTTATCTCACTCTGGCCCACTTTATTACAAATGTGTGCTGTCACATCTGAAATGTCATCAACCGCGGCCCATAGTTCTAAGATCTAGATACTAGATTGAACAGTATCATCAGCAACGACAAAAATCCAATCGCAAATGAAATCACGTGAGTCCGATGTGATTCTTGACCTACCAAAACTTTGACACTGACTCACCAAAACACTAGAGCTAGAACTTAGGCTAGAGGTCGAATGCAAGATAATCTAGCATTCAGCTAGTCTAGATGATGATAATAGAATTATATTACTTACTACTACATACTAAATACTAGAATCCTGATTTCTTTACGAATCTTTAGATTTTTTTAAAGTTTTAGTTTAGATTTTTATTTTTTAGTTTAGATCAGACGGTAATCTATCGTTTTGGGTACGTAAAATCGCCCGCGGCTATTAATGTACAAAAACGTTACCTCATTGTCAAGGCTGTAATAGAAGTATATTGTGATATGTTTGTGTCAAATATTATAGATAAATGAATAATAAACCTAAATCAATGGCTAAATATATCAATGTAGGCCAGAAATTAACTTTAAACAGCAGTGTCTGCAAGCAAGATTTGCTATATAAACAGCAGCCATTGGGTGTGGGGAAATTGCGAGACGCGAAAAGCGAAATGGCGAGGCGGGAAAATGCGAGAAGGTAATGCGAGACATACCTGTGGAATTAAGAGTAAATAGCAAGACACTTTTTGCGAAAAAAGTTCTTTTTCTTTTTTTTCCATCTTTATTTATTTAAATTATTTTTTTTTGTTTTAAAATAAACAAGCATTTAGCCATACCCTTTAACACGAGTGTTGTATGTTGATATTTTTTATCTAGATACTAAGAAGATAGATAGATCTATATCTAGATCTATCTATTTAAAAATCCTAACATTGTTGCTGTGCTACTGTCATCGCCCGCTATTGTTAGCGAGAGGAAAATCCTGTCTCAGTCGGCATTGATTTAAAAATCTAGCCCGCTCATGTTTATACAAACGTGAGCTGTGTCATTGTGAATTGGTATAATCTTGTCAGCAAGAGAGATATTTTGCAACATCTATTTATGGATTTTTGTACTTGCAAAAAGTGTAAAAGTATAAACAATTCTAAAAAGTACAATTTATTTTTTTATTAAGTAATTTTAATTACAAACAAAATTTACAAACAAAATCTTCTGAAACAGTCCTCAAACACACCTCGTGACACCATCTTTCACACATAGTACACCCAACCCAGTTTATTAGACTCCCATTTATACATTTTTCTTTTGCTACTTCTTCCAATCCACATTCACAACATTTCACATTCTCATCACAGTTGACCTCCTCGTTCATCCCACAAACAACACTGGCACCCATGTTCTCATCATCATCATCCGCACGCTCAACATCTGTTTTCCGTTTTTTATAATTTGTATTTTTTATCATTTCTGTAATTTTGGCAATGTCTTGCTCATTGTTGTCACCAGCCGGATCAACGTCAGCGGGGCGTGGACGTTTACGCCCTGAAGTTTTATCCTGTCTCTTCCTTGCAGCTTTTCTTAGTTGTGTTAGATTTATTGATTTCTTTTTGCTAACTGTTGATAATCCAACTGCCTGTCTGGCCGCCACGATGTCATAGTTCTTACCTCCAGAATAGTTGTATCCAAATGATGTAGGCATTTCCTTGTGCTTAGATTTATATGGTAAAAAAAAGCTAGAAAAAAATCGTAGGCGGCGGCTATAATACAAAATTTCTATGCAACAATAGAAAATATGTTTGCGGCGGCAGCGGATCCGGGCACGGCGATCTTCAAGGACAGTAAATCAGGCGGCCTCGGCGTTCCACACAAAAGACAGAAGTTGATCTATCGTCTGCGGTATTTCCGTTGGTTTCGAAAAAGGTGGTATTCTAAGTCAACACGAAAGATGGGGGGAGTTGACAAATCATCAGTATGTCTAGCGACGGAAAAATCGGAAGTTTTAACAATGTAAACGAAACGTCTGTGAAGTCTGGACCAAATACCACTGAAAATCAGATGCGGTAAATTTTTCGCAGCGTAAGTGTCGGCTTGTGGTAAAATGCGAGACAAAAAAGTCACGTGACCGACCGTTTTCGCGCCCTTCTCGCATTTTCCCGCCTCGCCATTTCGCGTCTCGCAATTTCCCCACACCCGCAGCCATTTGTAAAATAGAGTGACTTCCGACTGAATCTCGCACTATAAGTCTATAAAAATAAAACTTTAACAAGATGGCTGCTATAGTAAGTGAGCATGGTTGCATCTGTTGGAAACATCGCTGGTGTTCACTTGACTTATTACTGAAAAGTTTTAATTCAATTGCTTAAAATTACAGGTACATAAATGAAACAAGGAAACATTTTTGTATTTTTCAAAACATAAATAAATCCTCCTCAAAATGTGAAATAATTATTAAAATGTAAGGAGTCACCTGTTTTTCACATTACTAGTCGCGGGCGATTTTACGTAGAACCTAACTAAAACGATAGAATAGATTTTACTCTAAGATTACCGATCAGACGAGCCGCAAGAAGAAGATATCTGTATTTATCTAAATACTAAATTCTAAATCTGCTATTTCTAAACAACTAGATTCTTAAGATCTAGAAATACTTAAAATGACGATAGATTAGGCTACCTTTATATTTTTCAATAACCATTAACAATCTTTTCATTATTTATATCTATTAAGTAGATCTAGAATCTAGATCTAGAATCTAGATCTCGATTGCTTTCTTTTCACTTTGTAAAAACGAAAGTGACAAAAACAAAGCGCCAAGCACTAAGATGGACTGGAATGTAGATTCTATTTAAAGTTATATTTTAAAGCTTAAATTCTTTTACTAAACCTATAAGTAAAAAATCATATTTTAACTTTATACGCTGGATAAACATTTTTTAATAATTATTTTCTTATAAATATCTCTAAAATATTAAGTCTAGATTTACAATTTAGATCTAATCCATTTAACCATTTTATATCACCGAGGAAACAATATGGCTTGAAAATGGCGACGCATGAGAAACTTTATTATTAAGTATTTTAAATATGTAATCGCATAAACTCTGAGTTAGTTAATCTAAATAATTAGAATTACAGTAAAATTATAAATTTAAAAAGGTCCATGCTATCTTGTTTATTTTTGTTTTGTTTAGGGCAACATATTAGTTCTAACTAATTTAGTGAAGTAGTTTAGTAGTAGATTCTAGTCTAGTATCTAGTAGTAAGTAGTAGTTTTTACTAGTTTTTAGGATAAAAATTACAAAATAAAAGTAAATCTAAAATAAGTAGTTAAGTAATAATCGTAATTTACTTTATTTTTATCAGTATTACATTAGAATTGTATCTACCCATAGATCTAAAAATCTAAATCTTAATAATTAATAATTTTTACATATTCAAATATTGAAAAGTGTGCTGACAGCATCTCAGCAACACTAAATTACTGACAATTCATGGGCTATCGGTTGCCATGAATTCGTATCTACTTATATTGACTTCTTATAACTATGCTCAAGTACCAACCTTTTTTGAATGATTTACTAATTTACATAATGAGATCAGATTAAAAACCATATTAATTTAGTCCTCTTACTCCTTGTGGAGAATAAGGATTAAAAGCACTTAGTCCTGGAACCTCAATCTCAGAACTGGTCAGAGACATTTGTTAATGAAGGTCCCACAAAATGATGAATTTCATTGGCTGCATAAAATAGTGTGGATCTGGCCAAGACAGCAAAATGGTGTTTAAAAAAAAGTCATTTTTTTCTAAGTTTAGACTGTCTCATTATCATGAGTTTCAAATTAAATTATTTATTTATTAGTCATTGCAAAATATATCCTATATTAGCTAATAAAAAATCAAGTTGAAGCCAAATTTATTTAGGGCATGAAATAATTCAGATTTTTTAAATCCCTGTGTCTTATGGTGCAGTTTGGCACCCTGAATTTCTCATCTGCTGCCTGAGCACATGAAGTCTGTTGGTTAAAGGCCTGCATAGGGGGTCTGGGTTACTACTTGATTCAACTGTCCAACTGCAACAGGGATGGCCTCTGGCACCCCAGTGCAACCCATGCTCCACCAAAGAGAGCCATTCACCATAGATATGGTTGGCTACTAATATTGATGATGAAATCAAACCAGGGAATTAGAGTACTATTGGGTGTGTCAAGTTACCTGAGCACATGAGGTCAATGTACTACTTAATTCAACAGTCAAACTGCAGCAAGCACTATGAACATGGTGGGCTGCTACATCTGACGATTAAACCAAACTAGGGTTGCACCTGGTGCAAAAAAAATGCAAATGAAATTTGAATGATCACTTAAATCAGTGTTAAAAACAACAAACAAAAAAATTAGTCCACTTGAGTCCAAGCCCACACCTTTCAGTCCAAGTACTAACTTTTTAAAGTGATGTAATGTAAGTTGAAAAGGGAGATACAAATGTGACAAGCAAGACAAAGATATGCCATCTGTGTTTTTTTACTTTTGTGCTTTTAATATCATGATTCATGGTACCAGAATAAAAATAGAGCTGGGAAATTTATCTGCATTTGTGTCAAAATGTCTGAAATTTATTCTTACTTGGCTTTAAGATACAGCAAATAGTAATAGTGATGATAAATGTAAATGCATGAAAATTCCAAATGCAACATAGTATTGTTTTAACATTTTTATATTAAACATATCTACAATAAAATTATATACAGTTGTGAATTTTAGTTTCTTATCAAAGAAGTGTCAAGCAAATGTTTTTATTTTATATTTTAACCAGTGTACCCTTAAAATGGCTTCTGCAAAAGGGAATCAATGTGCAAGTCACACTCAAAAACATTTAGCAAATGATGAGCTTTTAAGAACTATTGAACATGACATAGATTTTTTAAATTATAATCAATGGCAAAGAAAAGAAAAGAAAATCCCTCAAGGTATTTTTTTTTAATGTAGAAGTAGAATTAATAATACACTTTAAAATCTATCTGTTGATTTTTATGAAGTTTTCTCTTTATTTATAAATCTGTCTAAATCTAAATAGTATTCTATTAAGACAAATAAAGCCTCACAATTATTTGAATCATATAGTTTTTGTAATTCAATTATTAAATATCTTAAATTTGAATGGTGTTTTTTAATAGCAAACAGCCAAAAAGTATTCACTGTTGGTACAGTAAAAAATACAAATGTTAACCACGAAGGACCTTCAAAACAATTTCCTCGAACTCGAAGAGTCCAAGCTAGTCTTGAAGAAGAAAGGCAGCAACAAGAAGCTAGATGTGATGTTTTAATGGTTTGTATAGTTATTAAAAAAAATGTTTAGTATAATTTATTAAGGAATGAAATCTGAAATTTGTACATTACACTTTGCTCCATTATGCCCTGCATTGGACCCTGTATTTTTAAATGCTAGAATATGTGTTAAAAAATATGAAAATCATGATGTTGGTTTTAAATATTAAGCCTGCAACTAGTACAACTTAAAAATCCTTAGTGTGGGTCATGCTTTATGGCTAATGTTAACTTTATCTCAATGGGTAGAAGCGCGGGCACAGATCTATAGATCTAGAGTACTAACACTCGTATTGATAGGATTTTTTGTAAATAAAAACTGTATTAGGTATTAGGTTTTTAAAGAATGCTTAATACTTAGTGTTTAGACATATTTATATTTTGTTTTACTCCAATATTACAGAGTAAAATTAGGCATGCACAGCAAACAACAGATATGTACATAAAAAGAGAAAAAGAATTGTATCCTTTATGGTTAAATGCAAACATCTGATTCGTGAAATTAAAATTCAGTGGCTATTTATGATCTTGATGTGACATACTTTTATTAAATGTTAGGCTCACTGTGATGTTTTATGATTTTCGTTATTTTTCTTGAAAATTAAATAACAGAATAGAAATAAATATTCAAATAGCCAAGGAAATTGAAAGTAAGGAAGCTGAAACACATGCTGAGGTGAAGAGATTATTGCGGAAATATGAAAAATTTAGGGTAAGACATGGATCTTGTTTGAATTTTAATTTGTGTAGTTTTTAGTTCCCTTTTTAGCCTTATTTATAGCCTGTTGAATTGGTTTTGGGATAATTAATCTGAAACTACAATCCTACTTCTAGAAATTTAATTTGTACCTGTAGGCTACTGAAAAAATTGCTTTGAATAAAAGCAAAATCACTGCTTAACGTTAAAAAATTCTTTAGCTTGAACCCTAACCTAAGTATCATCACTTTCAGGGAGGTATTAACTTTTTGAATACAAATTTTGCAAAAGAACTTACAGAGGGGCAAATGGAGCTGGATGCTTCAAAAATGAATATTAAACTTAAATTGGAAGGTATATAAAATGTATTACATAACATCCACTAGTTCCTTTTTAACACAGATCCAATGAAACCATGTAGATTGAAACAGGTATTTTTGATTTATGTCTTGGTACCCACCTCTCAACTATTTTTAAAAAATCCCTTAGCACTAGAACATCAGGTGGATGAAATGGACAAGAGACTTAAAAGTAAACAAAACCATCTCAGTGTGCTACAAAGTTATAAAGTAAGTTGTTTAAAAAAATAGATATTACAGTCTATAGATCAGAAGACATGACAAATATCTAATTTCTTCCTCTTTGTTCTTAATTTTATATGCCACATAGCCTCTTGACTACAATTTCAGCCTACTTTTCTTTCTGGATTTGATTCCATTATCTAGTCCACCCTAGAACAATCTGTTAGGTCACAACTTTTGATTTTGGAGTTCTCTTTCTTAGATGAGTAGCCGTCTCCAGCTAAAGAGCCTCATCTGCCCAGCAAATATCTAATGAATTTAATTTTGAATAGTAACTGCTCGTATATGTAGGCAAATCTGAACTACATTAATTACTTTGACATGAGTTTTGTAATTTCCAACAGTGTACAGTCATGTGTTTGTGAATTAGAAGTTGTACTATATTTTTTAATTCAAAGCTCAATTTTGTGAATTCGTAAAAGGTTTTCTTCAAATAAGAAAACATGAAACATTTAAGTTAAATATAATACATTTTATAGAGTTACAAATGTTTTAACATTTGAAAATAACTTGAAATGATTTTAATTTAGACTTATTTCCACAAACCACGCTGTGTTTGGGTATCTGTAGAATATAAATATTAATTTTGTTTTGTAAGAAATTATAACTTTTCTATCCTAGGACAAAGAATATCCAGTGAAGGCCATGATAATTGTTAATCTTCAGGCAGAGTTGGAAGCATTGAAAAATTCTAATCAGGTGCCACAAGTTTCCATCAATGATTCAAAATGTTATTTTATATGTTTCTATATTGTCTAAAATACAAGATTTTAGCATTTATAGAGCTGTTAACATTTCCCTCTCCATTAATGAGTTTTTGTAATCTATTTTAAGGAAGATCTACAAGAGTTAGAGCACATTATCAACACTGAGCTAGGAAAGTATGAAAAAGATAGTGTACGCCGTTGCAATGAAATTACACGGAGAGTCACAAATGTAAAAGTTTAATCTCAGTCTCCATTACTTACAAAGGACAGGATTTACCAATAACTGCAAATAGAGAAAATTTTGAATTAAAGATGTTATAATATAATTGATAGAATTAGGTATCACCAGTATTAACATAGTATGTCATTCAAATCCTAAAAATAGACCAATTCTTACAGTTAAAGTGTTTTAATTATTTATGTTAAGGAATCTATAGCTTTGATGCATCCCAGCCTTAAAGATATGGCTTTGCAAAATTTGGTAATGAAAAAGGTAAGTTGTGCTTATATTTTTAATGTATTTAAAAATTAAATTGTGATGTAGTGATGCATTTTATTTGTATTACACTGAAGATGATAAAAAATATACTGTCTGTATTTATATTATATAATCTCAGGTCTGTATTCAGATTCATACAATTAAAAAAATAAAATGCCCGAGGAGAATCAGTGCTTGGAACAATAAGGGACTTAAATCTAAGAATGATCAGACTCACAAAAAATTGTTTTTGAAGAGACACACAGTTTATATGACATAAGATAGAACTAGAAGTTCCAATGCTAAACTTTCCTTGGCTAGTTTGTATTAGGGTATGAGCAGTGACACTTCTACTTGAGAAAGAAAGCTGTTTGGTGTGCATATGAAGGGGTGGGATTCATGCAGCTGGGGTGGGGATGGGTGACATGGTCTAGGGAGGGGGTATGAAGTGGCTGTGGAGAATGGGAGTCAGGATATGCTTAGCAAAGTATATTAAGTGTGATTTAGTGTGTTTTTCTGCATTTGACTTGAAGAGAATACATTTTCATAAGCAAGTTCAGTCTTGTTTAGAAGCATACAATCAATTAAATAGTGCTGGAATTACAGGAAATAGAGTTTCATAAAAAAGAACAAGAAGAACTGAGGGCTACCAATCAACAACTACAAGAAGAAGTTGAGAGGCTGCTCAAAAATCCTTTATCAAATCTCAGGCTTCAGTTGTTTCCTGAATTCTTCCCAAAAACTTCAAAGTAAGTAAACATATTTAATGAATCACATATTTTACATACATAAAAAAATGCCATATATTTTTACTGTCCTGCTTCACAATGATAATTTTATTATAATAGCATATTTTTTTTAATCAGGTGTACCCCAGATATGGATGTGGTTTTGGATATCCCAAAACAAGAATGGTTGCCGATTTAATGTGCATGTTACTTGTGAGGTTTGTTGATGTACACTTTATTGCTGGTTTTGTGTAACTTGCTCCATAAAATTTTGAAATTTCATCAGAACTAAATGCAGAAACAATTTTTCTGTCAGATTAACCTCATCTATTGATTACGAGACTACTTATGAATATTAGTTTTACTTGTTATTCCAACATCTCAAATTTTTCTTGACAACTGAATGAGCATTTTGAAATTAGTTTTAAAAAGTGATGGTTAATAAAAAAAAAAAGATTATTAAAAAAAAAGAAAAACTTATCTTCCATCAAATTTTTATTGATTTTTTTAAAGTGACAGTGTTGACATAAAAGGTAGCTCTCACTAGATTTTTATTGCAAAAGAAACATTTATCATAACATGAAATCACAATAATTGATTTATCAAAATACTATAAGGTGGTACATAGTTTCAGCACCTTTATTGAAAATAAGTTTCTTTTCAAGACTCATGGAAAGTTAAAAGTCCCTGTTAAAAACTTAAATTGCATGTCACTATTTAAAAAAAATGTTTTCTAAATATCTTAAAACAACATTAGTTAAAACTTACTTATAAAACCACAAATTCATTTATCCAACTAATATATCAACATGCATTGTTTTGTATGCAGCTAGTGAATGTACTGTTTATATTTAGAGGAAATAAATCATGACTAGTATAACTAAATAAGCTAATGTAATTTCTATTTCAATTAAGATAAAAAAAATTTTAATACTATACCACATGAAGTCGCACAGACATTGTCTATTAATAAAACTAATTTATGAGTATCAAAATGGAATGCATTATTTACTACTTGTCGCTATACATGGCCTTTTTAAAAAATTATCCTGTTAACCTCTATTAACTGACTCATTGATTGAAAAGCTAAACTACACAGTAACCGCTAAAGTACTTGAAGAAGCTGTTATCATTACTGTACTGTTATGTGGTTAAAGTTCTTATTGAAATAACAGAATATTGTGTTATCCAGGTGTATTCAGCTTTCAGAAAAAAACTGCATGTTTAAAAGAAAGAAGAAATTCATTTAAACAATGCAGCTTTCACTCTAGTGCTATAGCTAAAACATGACTATTTAATGCATACATTCAATGTTTACAACAAATATCAAGCAATACAAGGCATTTAATCATACTTGGAAAAAAAATCAAAGTACAAATGTTTCAACTTAAACAATTTTTTTCTGTGAAAACTTGAGATGAAAGATGATTAACAAATGAATTTTTAAATAATTGACAAAAAATGCCATGATTACTCTCACCATTATAGAGCTGAAATGATTACCAACATGGCAATACTTTTGCTATTGATTTTATAAATTACAAATAACAAAAGAAAATGTTTATTACCGATCATCATAAGGTATCTTGAATATTGCCTTTTAAATAATTACTATCACAAATATCAATCTTAAGATAAATATTAACTGATTAATTAAGAGCCAAATGTTCATTAAATTTAAGGAAATATAATAACATAGCAGTTAAAATATCACTGTAATTCTTCTACAGTAGGGAACAATGGCTAAGAACCTGATTCAGAATGCAGTGCAGAGTACAAAATGATCCATGCAACCTGAAAGGAAAAATGAATTTTTTATGTTTTGTGAAACCTGTCTTAAAGGAGCATATCATTTTTGTTATACCTAAGTTATAAATAAAATAGGCTATAACAATGCATAATCAATTCTGAAAGTTTACTTACATGTGAAATATAGATATAAAAAAACATTCTAAATCAATACAACTCATTTCAACTGTATAACATCAGCCAACTTTTAAAGAAAATTAGAGAAAGCTATGGGTGAATCAAGACAATATAATCAATTAAGGTAAACTTACTAAAAATGATGAAAATGATGTCATAAGACCTTCTTTAAGAATTTCTGAGGCACCACCATATTCTTCTTCATCAATCTTTTGAAAACTATTGTAATAAATGTACACAATTGCCACATTCACTAATATAAACCTGCAAAAAAAAATTATTCATAATTCAAGCAAGATGGATTTTCATACATTTTAATTGTAACAATAAATTTCCTTCTGAGGAAATAGTTTAACTACCATAAAATATTCAAAGACAAAATGATAGCCAACAAGTAGATCTAGCTTCAATCCATACCATTAAAAAAAAACAACTTAAATCTTTACACAAAATTAAGAACTTACAAAGCAAGACCAATAAATCCTTTAAGGGGAATAACGCCCCATACAAGACCTAGCAGAACACCCAGTATTTGTCTCATCCAATAAATCACATCCAAAAATTCATCCTGAAACCAAACATTTAAAACCTAGCTCAAGTATATTACTAATATACTAATATTATTAGAAATGTATAACATTTGAATTTGGGGTGGGTGGATGTGAAGAGATGCCAGTGCCCTACACAAACTGGTTCTCACGGTTCTGAATACTGCCAAAGCACTCTTTTCCAATATAATGGATCCCTTTGATTTAGATACTTATGACTTTTAGAAACTTTTATTTGTTGTGTGCCATCTTGACAACCAAATGGATTCACTAACTCAAATTGTTTTACTATTTAAACATTTCTAAGATGAGCCTAAAAATGGCTTGTCTTTATATTAATAATAGAACAAGTTATTGTTGATGTTACTATTTGTGCCAGAAAAATGTAAGACTATTAGGAAAAAAAATATATATATATAAAAGATATGTTTAGCCCAACCTTAAAGTTAAAGCTAACCATTGATTGCTTCAAGTTTTGTCACTAATCCAATACTAGGTCACTTTTTTGGGGTCGTGTAAAAAGAGAAAATTTACATTTCCTGAAAACAAAATTGGGTGGACTTTTTATACCAGTGTCCAATAATAAAATCTTTAAAAAGGGGTGTTGTGTTACTGGTAGTTAACTAAATACACACATATGACCTGATAATGTCAATACTAATCCTATCTCTACCATACTGCTTAACACTAATTTTAAACCATAAAACTAATTGAGATTACAATACTACTAACAATCTGACACACCTTTGTGACCTATTTTCAGTCTATTATTGAACATCTGTATCCTAAATCATCCCAAAAGTGAAAGGCCTTACAGAAGTGTTCATAACCACGATGTGCCAAATGCTGTCGTTTTGCATAAAAACCAGCCAAATAGGCCAAATTAAATAACAAGTAGTAAAAGGCAGTAACTAAAGGCTGAAAACAAGCAGAGTGTATGCATGCAGTACTCCCTAAGCCTTTCATGGGGACAGAGTGGCCTGGCGGTAGAGAGCTGGACTCCTACCCTTAAGTAATAAGTATTGAGTTCAAATCCGGGTTCAAGTCACTTAGTAGACCACACTTTAGTCCACCCAGCTGTGATGGGTACCTAACTCAATTGGTGACATTAGTTTGGCTTAGGGCATTAGGGAAAGTAAAGGCGGTTGGGCAAAGTGCTGACCGCAAACTATTACTATCCTTTCATATGCCAAGGTCCCAGAAACAAGTGAACTCTACTAAACTCTACTTTAGTACTTCATTTGCCCCATAGCCATAGACCGGGAGTTTGGAAGGGGAACTTAACGGCAATCTATCGTTTAGGTCTGTAAAATCGCTTGAGACTAGTAATGTGAAAAACAGGTGACTCCTTAAATTAATAAATTTTAATAATTATTTCATATTTTGAGGAGGATTTATGGTTTGAAAAATACAAAAATGTTTCGTTGTTTGATTTATGTACCTGTTTTTAAACAATTGAATTAAAACTTTTTAGTAATAAATGAAGACTAGCGATGTTTCCAACAGATGTAACCATGCTCATTTACTATAGTAGCTGTTTTGTTTAATTTTTTCAATTGTAAACTTATAGCGCGAGATTCATGGGGAGCCACCCTAACTTACAGACGGCCGCTTTTTATATAGTAATATATTATATAGCAAATCCTGCTCGCAAACACTGCTGTTTAAAGTTAATTTCTTGCCTATAGGCCTATATATTGAGGTATATTATATTATTTATATTGATATATTTACCCATTGATTTAGGTCTATTATTCATTTATCTATTATATTTGACACAAATATATCACAATATACTTCTCTTAAAGCCGCGGGTGATTATACGTACCTAAAATGATACATTACCAACTTACTAGATCTACTACTTAAGTTTTACTCCCACTCACACTTACTTTACATCAATTAAATTTTTGGCCGATGCTAGCCGGAATAAGATGCGCATGTGCAATGGAGAGAAACTACGACTTGCCAATGGTACTGCGCATGCGTGTATTTACAACCGCAGAACCCCTAACACCAACCCTAATCCTATCCTTAGCCCCAAACCTATCCCTAACCCTGCGCATGCACAGAGCTATCTTTTGCCGACTAAGTGCCAAAGTGGAGACGTTGGGGAGAAAAATCGGTAATCTATCGTTTTAGGTGCGTAAAATCGCCCGTGACTAGTAATGTGAAAAACAGGTGACTCCTTAAATTTTAATAATTATTTCACATTTTGAGGAGGATTTATGTTTTGAAAAATACAAAAATGTTTCTTTGTTTCATTTATATACCTGGTTTTAAACAACTAAATAGCGCAAGATTCAGGGGAAGCCACTCTAACTTACAGATGGCGACTTTTTATATAACAAATTCTGCTCGCAAACACTGCTGTTTAAAGTTTATTTCTTGTCTATACTATAATAAATGGCCGATGCTAGCCGGAAAAAGATGCGCATGCGCAATGGAGAGAAACTACGACTTGCCATCCCGGTGATGTTTTCGATGGTACTGCGCATGCGTGTGTTTAAAACCGCAGAACCCTAATCCTATCCCTAACCCTAATTCTAGCCCTAACCCTAGCCATAGGTCACTGCGCATGCGCAGAGCTATCTTTTGCCGACTAAGTGGAGACGTGGAGAAAAATTTTCTTCCGAGTAGTCACTTCGATAATAAATATTGATATATTTAGCCATTGATTTAGGTTTATTATTCATTTATCTATAATATTTGACACAAATATATCACAATATACTTCTATTAAAGCCTTGACAATGAGGTAACTTTTTCGTACATTACTAGCCGCGGGTGATTTTAAATTAGGGATTTTGGTAAAAAAACACTAATCATCATATAAAAGTATATATAAGTAAATTACTTGAACACTGTTATGTGCATATAATATTATAATTGCCTCATTATTTTGGGCAGGTGAAGTAGAGTCCATCTTTAAGCCATTTTGTTATAAAACTGCTGCGCAAATATGAAAATGTTTCTAAAGCAATATTTTATATAAATACAGTGAATGAAAGAACTACATAGTCAGAAATCTAAATGACTTGAACACTGTAATGTGTATATAACTGCCTTGTTATTTTGGGCAGGTGAAGTAGAGTCCATATTAGCCATTTTGTAATAAGTGAAATAAAGTTATCAGATCAATGTTTTTATGTGTGAATTGTGTATGGATTCTGATTTTCAACATATAACTATATCTAAGGGTAAGTAGAACTTGAATACTTAAAATTACAGTTAGCACAATGCTAGCAGCTAGTGTATAGCAACAGACTACACACAGGTAACCTAGGTCTGACTCTTGTCAGTCTAGTCTGACAAAATTGGATTTTAGGAAAAACATATTCTGCAAAACTAGAACTAGAGCTGAAAAAAATAAAGATGGGTATGTAAATATATTTTGAAAACAAAAATTAGGAGATTTGTTTGCACATTCCATAAGAATGCTGTTGTTAGTTGATCAAACTTAAAGGCCGGAAGATCGGGATGAAAAAATATAACAATGGTGGCAATGCGACCTACATACAGTGACCACCTCTAGATGAGTATATCTAATGTCGGAGTCAAAATATCCAAAAACAAATATCATTTCCACATACATAAGATATGTCTGCTCAGTAATCTTCTCTCATCTAGAATAACCTTTTAAAAAATCGTGATTCCAACTTATTTGAAACTAGCCTTCATACAGGGGGAAGACCAAAGCAGAGACAGCGTGCAATCAGATAGCTAAGCCATCAAAACAATGGGAAAACCATTCTACTTTTCATTTAACATTAGGAAATGACCTTTTAAACTTAATTAATTACCATAAATTAAAAACTTATTAGATTCTAGTATGCAAAACCAAATCTCGTGCGCCAGGTATCAGAAAGTAATGGGAGATTTCGGGTCATATTTTTAGGGGTCATCCATTTATGACGTCCACAATTTTTTTGGATTTTGGGACCCCCCCCCCCCCCCCCCCCCCCACAAAAATCCACTTTTTATCCTTATACATTATTAGTAGTAAGCCTAATTTTAAGTTGAGTTATTAGTTTAGGCCTAGTTTAGTGTACAGTTACGGTTATCAGTTAGACTTGAGTTTGAGACGTAGTTCTAGAATTTACACTTTTACAAATCAAGATAATATAAAAATATACGAAGTGACTACTCGGAAGAAGATTTTTCGGTAATCTATCGTATTAGGATAATTAGTTATTAATTAGGTACGTAAAATTAGGGTTGTCGGTATCGGCCGAGATCGCGGTAAGGTGTCATCCATTTATGACGTCCACACGGGGGGGGGGGGTCCGAAAAAAACTGACTTTTGTGGACGCATATGGACTTGTATAGCCGCCTACCTTATCGCCCCAATGAAACTCCGGGGTCAGAGCCTTTGACAACAAAGATTGATTTGCATGCGCATCGTCAATGTTTGATTTAGAGGACTTTTTGCTTGAAATTGTCATTGTTTGTTCGTCTAAAACTATTAATTTTGTATTATGTATATTATTTACACTTTAAAATCAAGAAATATTGAAAAATACAAATTATTTAAATGAAACTATTTCCTAAACGTGTCCACCATGTTGTTTGTATAGTCAATTTTAAGACCTTTAGTTGCAGGGTAGTCTTTTGCTCCAACTATCAACAGAAGTATGTTCAAACAGAAATTAACCGAAATGCATGTAGAGTAGGTCTAGAATGATCCACATATTTGTCTAAACTCGTTACACTTAAAATATTAAATTCTTAATTCCCTTAATTATTTTTTTCAATTAAACTCGTGTTTAATATTTATCTAATTCATTCACAATATATATATATATATATATATATATATATATATATATATATATATATATATATATATATATATATATATATATATATATATATATATATAATTCTCCTCTTCGAGCCGTTAGAAAACAAGCTGCAAACGCTCTCCCTACCTCCCCACCCCTACATGGTTTTAGTGAGCTGTGTTCACTCTAAATGTTTACAAGCAGAGCCAACGATTTTAAACGTAGGGGGGGGGGAAGGAAGGGGGGGGGGTTATGGTCCTTAACGAGCTACTTATAGTGTTTTAAAGAAATATTTTCAGTGTCAGCGTTGGTACTGTCGAATTCACAAATTATGAATTATTGAAAATTAGAAACAACTAAATAGCGGCGTATGTTATGCCGCGGGCCGGCTCGTATATATATATATATATATATATATATATATATATATATATATATATATATATATATATATATATATATATATATATACAGTTTTGTGTATGTGTGGTGCGGGATAGGTGTGATTTGGGGCGGGGGGTGTATGGTTTGGTCCACTTCGTACTGATGTACCGCAAGGTATAGTGTGTTGGGAGGTGTGTATCAAGTGCCCTCCCCCTTGGAGAAAAAATTCTGAAAGGAACACTGCTTTTGCCACATCCAATAAACAGCGTAGATATTAAAGTGTATCTGCGTTATTTTTTGTAGTATATGCCGAATTATTAAATATTCAACGAATTTTTACCATTGACGTTGCCAATTTACGCTTTCAACATAAAATATGATTGTAGGAAAAAAACTGAATAGGACAAAAGCCACAGTAGTAAGTAAAGTTACAATACAAAGTCACAGAAATAAAGTAAGAGGAAAAAAGTATAACAAATTTGAATTTCTTAAAAAAAATGTATGTATATAGGTAGGCCTACTATGAAAGTACACACCAGCGTACGTTTAATTAAAATTAACTGAGACGTTTTAGATATTTGTAAGTAGGTTGTAATAGTATGATAATTTTTTTAACACACTAGCGTACCGGTGCGCGTTGCTGAGATCTAGTCGTAAATACCAAAGTGGCGCAACATTTTTTGAGGATTTCATCAAACAGTTTTCTACTATTTAAATGTAAACAATGTTAGCTCTATATTTCTATATCTTAGATTTTAGTGTGTGTATTTGTCCACTCTACCGTCCAGAAAACTCATTACGTGTTATGTAAAAATCATGAATGTGCGTTAATCGCCCTTCGTAATAATAAAGTAAATCACCTATCTGCGACTGCCCTGTTGTCGGCGACATGTTACAGCCGGGTGTGACCCATTGTTCAGTTCAATCATCTAATGAAGTGTTTCTATGTAGGTCGTTCTTTAAAACGAAGCAGGAGCCATAATGCTTACTGTGTAGTCAGGGGTGCTCTTGGTCACCCGATAGACGGAGCGCAAGAGGCATTTGACAGTTGAATCGAGTATTTCGCCTGACCCTGGTCAGGAAACACAACCAACTGATCCCTTGTACATAGGTAGACGCTTGGGAACACGGGTGCCCAACGGTACGTACTGCCAGAATGCTGAATGACGCCCTTTGTTAGAATTTGTCATCGATTTTAGTTGCCCACTATGTCTCTGGCTGTGCTCTGATTAGTGTTTACTCACGCTCCGTTTGCGCAGTTTCGGCGTTGTAATTTTCGTTTTGCATTTTTTATGTTTGCAGAATATTTCTTTGGGAACATAACTTAGAAGCGTTATCTGTTTTTAGTGACCGGTTTTACTAAACAGAATTTGTTGAGTTAGTTTTGGTAACTAGAGAAGGCACTTTGCTGTTTAAAATATAGATAGTACCAAACACCGACAAGTAAAAACAAATCAAATTAAAATATGCAGTTTTTTTTTTTACTTTTAAAAGAATATGTACATTCCCCTCACATTATTAATTCTACAATTTCAAAACTCTAATTAATGCATGTTAACATGTGTCAGCGTATGCCTATTACAAATATTAAATAATTTTTTATAGGCCTAATTTAATTAACGCTAAAATTAATAAAATATTAATTAACTAATTAAAACTAGGCTACTTATTTCAAATTGTTTAGTAATGGCCGTTAGTGCAACTGTAGAAACATGAATGTCTCTTGTCTTTAGTAATATAAATTATCATTAGGACCTAATTAAAAAGTTCTCTTTTTAAAATTGTATATCTTTGTTTTCAATCGAATAAAAACGAGAATTTGTCTCTACATTACAGTCATATTCAGTTCATTTCGGCAAATGGTACGACTTGTTACTTTTCTTTTTTACACTATTTCAAATGGTCTATCAAGATCTCGATCTAGAATCTATGATTTCTTGTCTAGATCTATACTTTCTATATTAAAATACTAAATAGGTTAACATGATTGGTTATGTATTAAATGTAGACTCTAGACTATATCTAGAAAATATATCGTTACTGTTTATTTATATGGGAGATTTCGGGTCATGTTTTTACCGCGATCTCGGCCGATACCTACAAAGTACAAACCCTACTCCTACTACTACTACTTTAATTAATACATGTGATTTAAATAAAAGTATATACTAGATCTATATAATATTGTGATATATTTGAGTCAAATATTATAGATAATATAGAGATAAATAAATTAGGGGGCCTAAATGAATAATAAACCTAAATCAATTTTAATATAGGCCTATCAATTTTATAGGCAAGAAATTATCTTTAAACAGCAGTGTTTGCGAGCAGAATTTGCTAGCCTATATCTATATATATAATTATAATATATATATAAAACGCGACCATCTGTATGTTAGAGTGGCTTCCTCTGAATCTTGTGCTATAAGTTTACAAAAAAAAAAATAAACAAGATGGCTGCTAGATTCTATAGTAAATGAGCATGGTTGCATCTGTTGGAAACATCGCTAGTCTTCATTTATTACTGAAAAGTTAATATTCAGTTGTTTAAAAACATATACATAAATGAAACAAGGAAACATTTTTGTATTTTTCAAAACACAAATCCTCCTCAAAATGTGAAATTATTATTAAAATTTAAGGAGTCACCTGTTTTTCATATTACTTGTCGCGGTCGATTTTACGTACCTAAAACGATAGATTACCCAATTTTTATATAGGCCAGAAATTAACTCTGTTTGCAAATTCAACAAGCCCACTGGTTGGTTGAGGCCATGCAGATTGTTCCTTCTGCTAGATATACAAAGGTGTAAAAGGGTATCACCCATGTTTAAAAGCAACTTAATTAGGGAATCAGATTTTTTACCACAAATGCTAACGTCTATCATTGCCGTTTTAATCTTCTCAACCAGACGTCATTGATGAATTCGTTATTTTATTAATAGATCAAACTCAAACTGTTTTTGAAAGCTTAATTGTGAAAATTTTTGCAAAATTTGGTTTTTGCAATATTTTATGCCCCAACATTTTCCTTGGAATTAAGTTGGAATAGCTTTTCTAAGGCAAAAAAATTCGATTTCTTAAATTTTTTAGTGACAAGCAATTTTTACAGCAAACTCAACCTCTCTAATTTTCAGATTATTCAACGTTGAACTAATCAGTTTACTTTGATGTATGACATCAAGAAAAACAAAATTTATCTTTCTGATAGTACATTTTTATCTGACAGATGGTTTTTGTAGTGATAATGTTTTATTCCAATTATTCCAATAAGCATTATACCTCATTACAGCATTACGATACTTAGCATGCACCCATGGGGAAATGAGTTATTTGAAGACTTACTCATCAAACACAGCAAAAAGAGAGTTAACTGAGGCCTATACTTCTATTTCTAAAATAACCATTATCTAGTTTGTGAGATTTTTTTCTGTATTGTAAATAGGGCATAATGTATACTTTAGAAGAAAAAAATCCATACGTCATCATGCTTCTTGGGTCAGTTTTCTTCATGCCTTTTTACTTTCTCGTATACAGAGTATAGAGAAAGTGTTGTAATCGTGCAGAATTTTTTTTTTTGAGATTTTTGCAAATCTCAACGTTTTACACCTCCCTGAGTCGGAAAAACATAATTTTGCAATCTTGTTCGTGTGTATGTGTGTCTGTAAACACTGTAATTTGAGTACCGTTACAGCTAGGTTGATGAAATTTAAAATTTAAGTATTATATCAAATTTGTAGATTGGTATAAACTTTTCAGCAATTTCTGATAACCGGAAGTGGAACTTTTTCTACTTTCAATTTTGCAAAAGCCTATAACTTGAGTACTATTTCAGGTAGATACATGAAGTTTCACATATAAGTAAAAGATACAATTCTCTACCTTCGTTCAAATTTTGAGTAACTTCCGTTGACCGAAAGTTAGTAGTAATTTAGGCTATTTCCGATTTCTCAAAAAACATGTGAATTTATAAAGTACTAATAATATTTCGCACTATTATACACATTTTCTTTGGCGTTCACTTGGTGTGCAATTCTTTTTTCTACGAGATTCTATTCTATTTTAAAAAGTTTAAGTAATTAAAATGGATTAAAAATCATGTATATATCCCGAGTTGCCATCCCCGTAGTGTTATATAAGAATATTCGAGAAAGTTTAGGGGAGATCACTCCCGGTTTATTTGGTTTCAGAATAATTTCTTACAACTGAAACTTATTATCAGATTTTAATATATATGTTCTTTTTATTTCAGTTTTGTTTTAATATTAAATCAACATGTTCGTAGCAAGGTCCATAGCATCAGAGCATAAGGACCTAATTCATGATGTTTCCTTTGACTACCATGGTAGAAGAATGGCCACATGCTCTAGTGATCATACTGTCAAGGTACTTTAAAATGTGATGTTTGAGTAGGTCAGGGTTATGCTGCAACTGCTTTAACTTAACAATAGAAATCACTGTTTTATTATATAGAACTGTTGTAGCTGGGGACCATGTATATCCCTCAGTTATGCAGTGAGAGGGATTCTACTACCATTTTCTTTCCTAACCATTTCTAAATTTTTCAGTGTTTTGACCTATGGTACGACATCAACATAAACAAAGGACATAATCGCATAGTTTCATTCCATTGTTTATTGCACATGACATCCACTTCATAGACAATGACCACATCCTTCCTCACACAAGACGCAGACTGCTAGCAACCTTCTTCCCTAACAGTAAAGATACTATAGCAAACGTCCTTGCTTATGGCATCACAAACTCACCATCTTTATTTACACAAAACTCTTTCAAAGCAAACATACTCTCATACCCTAATCACAGAATCATAGAAAAGAACAACGTATCTTTTTTTAACTAAAGCAGAAAAGAACAATGTATTTTTTTTTCAAGTACAATAGCTGTGTACAAACTAGTCAGTCAAATGGTAGCATTCAGCTACTATCCCAAAGGTCTTGAGTCTAGATCTCAGTTTGGACTCAGGACCTTAGGATGACCCTGAAGGCACCCAGCTCTGATGGGTACCGTATGTAGAGGAAAGTAGAGGAGCTGAGCATGGTGCTGACCACACCATCCTTTCAAATGCCAAGGTCAAGAAACATGAACTCTACTTTATCTGCACTATGGAACTTTAGGTTTGAAAGGGGAGCTTTACTTTACTAAATACAATAAGTTATTCTAAAAATATTGTTTTTATCAGGTTTGGGATTTAGAAGATGGAAATTGGCGCTGCACTGCAAGCTGGAAGGTTAGTTTATACTAGAAAACTTTTCACATATATGTAATCTGTGCTTCTTAATATTCTTAATAAAATAAATGGCTCTAGTGAATTTTCACAAAACGATTCCTGGTTGCTACCTTGATCAGCATAATTAAAAAATCACCATATTTTCAAGATATTTTTACTGTTTTATAGGCTATGGTCTAATTCTAATTTTACATAGATATGTTTTAGAGCTAATATGACTTCACATTAATGGAGTATCATCATAATCAGCATTCAAGGTTGAATTGATATCTGCCAGTGTGTCATGCCATACTCCAATGATAGACAATGTTTGTCTGTGTGGTCATTTACCTCAAAACATTGCTTGTTTATATATGCATTCAGTCTGTAAGGCTCTTGTGGTTCAATTTTCTAGCAGTGCATAAAGTACAATTTATTTATCTGTTTTGTGTGGGGCATGATCTGTTGTCTCTTCACACAACTGCTGTGAGTAGAAACTTCTTAGGATTATTATTTTAAGAGAATACAAATATTTGGTTCATAGCTATTTCACAATTAATATAAATTTGTATTACAGTATACATGCTGATCATTTGCATTTATTACTTTAGCCTACTACTAGTAAACAGTTGAGCCCTTAATGAAATATATGTCAATTCATTGTAAGTTACCAAATATACTGTGCTAATAAATTGTGTTTCAGACTCACAGTGGCTCTGTTTGGCGTGTTACATGGGCACACCCAGAGTTTGGTCAGGTACTTGCCACCTGTTCTTTTGATCGCACTGCGGCTGTATGGGAAGAGCTTAGTAGTGATATTGGCAGCAAAGGGGGATTAGTTACAAACACCTGGCTGAAGAGAACATCTTTGGTGGACAGCAGAACTTCTGTTACTGATGTAGGCTTTGCACCTAAACATCTAGGATTACAGCTTGTGAGTAGAAGCTTTGTAAATAAAAAAATATGCTTATTTATTTTTTAGCTAATTTTATATTAATCTTCTACTACCCTAAGCAGCCGAGATTTTTTATATATGGTACAGACCTAAGTAGTCGAAGTACTTTTTTGCAAATGCCATATTTTGGACACTATTACTATTATTAAGTTTGATAATGACATTGCATTTTTAAATATAATGTTAATTGCATTGTAATTAAAAGTAATTCATAATAAATTGCATACATATTCCTCTGTAAAATAACTGTTATTTAAAAATCTTTTTTTTTTAAATGCACACTGACTTTTGTTAACTAATTAATTAATTCTAAGCACAAGAGTTCTACCCCTTGGTTTGGTCTACCTGCAATGAAAAGTTGTGGGGTTAAAGTAACATTTTCTACTTTTATTTTATTGATATATATTTTCATTTTCCTTCAGTGATAATAATAAAATTTGATCAGGCCCAGATGTTATTTTTACAATTGTTTTATTTGACCAGGCCACATGCTCAGCAGATGGTATAGTACGAATCTATGAAGCTGTAGATGTGATGAACTTGAGCAATTGGCAGCTTCAGTTTGAATTTAATTGTAATCTTAGCCTCAGTTGTCTTTCATGGAACACATCCAGGTGAGTCATTTGTCTTTGTAAAAAAATTATTAGTTGTTGTCTTAATTTGTGTATCATTTCTAAATAATGTTACAATTTCTTTTAAGGATACGTTATGAAGTAAAGCATTATTTTAAATGTTTTTTGTGTTGCTATTTTCTTACCAAAAGTAAAAATAAACAGAGATTTTGTTGCTATCAGTATAGCACATTCACATGAAAAATCAAATGAAGTTTTTTTTTTCCCAGATTACACCCACCAATGATTGCTGTAGGCAGTGATGATGCTAACCAATCAGCTGGCGGTAAAGTGCAAATATACGAATACTCAGATATAGTTAGGTATTCATGTAGATTTTTTATATTACATTAATCCTCTAAGTTTTTTTTATTTTATTTTGGCTGTTAAAACAATTTAAGACAATTTAAACTTCAAAAATTAACATTTTTTCTGGTAATTTCTTTAAAATGTTAAAATGTGTTTAGTGTGATTACATCAAATGTTTATCAAGTCTACTTCATAAACAACTGATATTTTTACCAGTTCAAGCAATTTTTTCCCCCTCTATATATCTCAGGAAATGGCAGAAAGTAGAAACTATCTACATGGTGACAGAGCCTGTCCATGATGTTAGATTTGCTCCAAATTTAGGCAGATCCTATCACCTTCTAGCTATTGCATCAAGGGACCTCACAATTTTATCTTTAAAAAATGTCAGGTACAGCAGCATTTCAAATGTTAAAATATTGTTACAAATTTTTATATATAAGTAATGGTTTAATGAATATAAATTTTTCTATTTTTAATTTTTGTAGAAAAGATGGTGGATCTAATGCTGGAGGTGTGAGTAAATTTGAAATTCGACAGTCCGGAAGTTTTGAAGACCATGGATCAGTTGTAAGTTTACAAATTTTAAGGTTACTTTTGTTACGCCTATGTTAATTTTTGTTTGTTGTAATTTGTAATGATAATTGTTAAATCTTTATATCTAGTCTATCTATCTTTTAAGGTATGGCGAGTGTCGTGGAATATCACGGGTACAATTTTAGCATCTTCAGGCGATGATGGCTGTGTGAGATTATGGAAAGGTTAGAGTTGGGAAACTGTTTGCATCATTTATTTTAGATATTTTTTTTGTTTTTACATTAAATTTTAATATTATAGAATATATTGTGATGTTCATGTCTAACACATTTTATAATGTTTAAAAGTAAAAATCTGTTATAGAAAGTTACAAAAATCAGATTTGATACAGCCTAAAATGTAGAATTTTGATACATAATAAGGTTAACATAAAAATTTGATGTAGAATAATAAATTTTAAAGATTTGATAGAAATGAAGTTATAAAGAAATTGGTTCATTTATTTCAGCTAACTACCTAGACAACTGGCAGTGTATCTCTGTTCTGAAAGCAGACAGCAATTCTACAGAAATTGAGAAGTCATTTTCACACATCCCCAGTGTATCAACCACACATAGTGCTAACATGTTCAGGTAAAACAACCATTTAGAATCACTGGAGATTTTCTGGTTGTAAAGCAAGGATAAGAAATCTTTGTTGGTGCTTCAGCAAATACCATTTAATTCATTTATTCATAAAATTTCATGCAGCATTGTTAAAAAATGAAGTTGTTCCAAATTAGTTAGAATTTAAGTATGCAAACTAATTTGTACTTGCTTTTTCAAGTCATTTAATAAATTACGTGTCACTTTTCTGCATTCTTTAACAGATAAATGCAATATTATTTTCAAAAGATATCTGAGAGCATTGATTTCTGTTTATTCATATACATACACTTGAATGACTTTCTGAGCTATGTCAAACATAGGTATCTGCCATTATCAGTATCCCTCATCAGGTTTAAAAATATTATTCCTGTTTTTGGATATGTTGAGTAGCCATTTGTAATTTAATGCTTATAGAATTTTTTTTGTTGTAACTTAAAACGATTTTTTTCAACTTGATAAAAAAAAAGTACTAAGTACATACTGTAAGATGATATATCTGAAGTTTTAAAGGAATGATATAATTCATTGTTAATTGTTTACAAAATTTAGTGTGTTCTTGTAAAAATCACTTGAGTTTTCTTTTGAACAATGTTAACTTATTAAGGAAGTTTTGTAATTCAGTGGAAATGTATGTACACAGACGTAAAACTAATAGGAGCTACAAGTTGTTTTTCATTCCCTTTTTATATTAGAGTTTGGACATGTATGTCATCTGTATATTTTTCATACAAAGGCCAAAGATGGTTACTTGAGTAAGATGGTCTTCAATTTTTTTTAAATATAAAAAAATATGTGTTGCTGTTGCTAAATATTAGTTTATCTTGTGAACAGAAAAATTGAAAATAAAAAGCATGTGTTGCTAAAAAAAATTAAATGTAAACCTCTGTTGTCTTTGATTTAAAAAAAAATGTGTAAAATAACCAGGACATTTCAATTACATTACTAGCAATGTTTGTACTAAGTTATTGTAATGGCAGGCCTCTGCTAGTTTTAGATGTTTATCATTGCTTAAAAAACCTACACATTACTTTAATTATCAAACGATAGGGAAAAGGATACTACTCCCACCTAAACAGTTTAAAAAATGCAGGGTTTTAAACTAAAAATAAGCGTTTTAAAATTAGTGATGGGAAAGAAAAAAAATTAACAACACTTTGTTCTGTTTGTAGACCACCTCCTCCACCTGGGACCATGAATATCAAAAGATCCTCAGGATGGCCTTACATGAACATTAACGTTGACCATGGAAAGGTGTTTTACTAATACCGGACAATGATAATTCTTTGACTTTGATTTAAATGTATGTTTTATTGTTTTTGTTTCTCATGCATGGTGGGAATTATAATACCAATCACTGTTTATATTATCTGAACAATATTTATTAGATGTTACTGGGAGTAATTTTTGTTTTACACAATTAAATATTTTCATCTTTGTCAAGAGTGGTAACTGCATCTTTAACTTTAGGCCAAGGTAGAGCGCACCTTCTAAAACAAACTATTCACGTCATTAAAATCAACTTATTCATGACCTTACTAGAATTAGACTATTTAGATGTGTACAACTAGAAATTAATTCCTCTAATTTTTATAGACAAATGTATAGTTTTATTTACTGTAAAGTTGTGCATAATGGAATCCAATGATTAACAATATTGAGGTTTTAAAAATATTTTGTGATGAATAATTTAATTCACTTGTTGGGCAGTTTTAAAAAACTATTAAAACACCTCACTAAAACCTACCAGCTGATTTATTGTACTGCTCAATTTAGTTAATATTTCATGGATGGAATTTTTATTTTAGTTTTACAACTAGAAATGTTGAAACATTTGGTCTTCTTTATGGAGCTCCTTTTATGATCAGTTTTGATTGCCCTCATTTCGGTTTCTAGATCAAATTTCAAAATGCTATCCTTAGTTTAAGGATTGTAGTATAGATATTGTGGTATGCTATACTATACTCAGTAGATGTTGGCTTCAGATTTTATGACCAAAGTTTCTTGTCAGTTTTTAAGAAGGAAGAAATTGGTTTTGGTGGAGCAAATATCTTAAACTTGACCTGAACCATTCTGAATGGTTTCTTAGTTACTTACCACTAACCTTAACAAAATTATTTTGTTGTAAGACAGCACCAATTGATCATTTCCAGCAATAGCGACAAAAGAAAACCTCACTATAATGTGATCTAAATGTTAAATGACTATAAATATACCATTTCTTTTACCAATGCCCCTACATGGAAATTGTCATTAACAATATTTATAAATATTTAAAAAAATAATTAAATTATTTGAAGAAAACAAAGCTAACTTTTTAGTCAAACTTTTTCACTAAAGCCCTTTGTGATGTTTAAATGATATTTCATTTTAACTGTAAGTCCATTTTTAAAAATTGTAACCTGTTGACAGGGTTAAGTAACAGCTAATTAGATTGACATGATCCGCATACCTTGGGTTGATTAATACACTTCCATCCTCCAAATGTTGTCCTACATTCTTATTGTGTCTTTTGTTCCCCCTACACATGCTCTACTTTTTTAATGTATTTATGTTAGATATTTCCCAATATTTTCTTTGCACTACTCTCACCACAAACAGCACAGCCATGTAATAGTAAAATATAACACCTTGCTCTGCAGTACATAGTTCTTTCATTCGTAATTCACAGGTCAAACAAAGGTTAATTACATACAATACATACTGTAGGTTGAATTATGCATGAGCATGAACGGTAGTTGTTTTAAAACATTCTAATAATGCAGATTAATATATTATTATGTATATATATTAAATTAAAAGGGAGATAAAACAGGACAACTTGACAGCCATGAAAATCACCTTTTATCAAAATTATAAGATTTTTTTTCCAAATACTTGACAAGCATTCTAGGCCTAGATCACTCTAGCTAATATTAAAAAAACCCACTATTTTTGTATGATTATAAAAGCAAATGTCTTATATAATGTTATAATCAAACACTTCTCTCACTCTGACACCAAAAATGAAACTGCATGAGAAAAACATCTTGCTTGAAACAAAGCAAATTACTGAATTAACTGATTTTAAGTGAGGCTTCAGTCTCTAAAAACCATATCAAGATTATTTAGTAAACAGAAGGGGAAAACATTTTACTTCTTTTTTTAAAGAACCTTCTATTAAAATGTATAAGTGTGAAACATCTATATCATTTTTAAAAAATCTGGGTGGAATTAAAGGAGAGGAAAGGGGCCATGGAAAGAAGCAATTTTACATGAGCACTTCTATGTAAGTTACATTCACAGTTGTGGGTACATATTGTATAAATTATTTCTAGAAATGTCAGTAATTTGTAGGTTAGTTGAGTGTTACACTTGAGACAATATTGATATTAAACTTAAGGAAATATCCTTTTGACCATGTATACAAAAGAGTAATAGGAAATAATTTGCACTGTAAGAATAAGATTTAAAAAAAAAATTTTTTTTTAATTCTCTGCTTTGATTTACTTCTACTACATCATTAGAGAATTTTACCTATGGGTTTTCTTCACCTGCAAATTCTACAAAGTTGTAATTTTAATCTAATTTTTCTTCAAGACAATTTTTGTTGAGATAATTTAACCATATAATATTGTAAGGATATTTCCAAAAAGGTTTGTGTAAAATAACATTGTCAGACAAGTAATAAATTTTTTAAAACTAGCATTTCTTATCCTGAAATTTTCAAACAAAGAGAAATATATACTGTGTTTATTAAGTTATTGAATGCTGATTGAACAAAACTAAAACTTTGATCAGAATATCTTTACAACCCATATTCAATGGTGATGTTCATGTATAGAGCTGATACAAGTGCCAACTTCATGCATCTCATAACATATAAAAGACTATGGAAGTCAATGGTAAGAATAAAAAAACAACAACAAACAAATTTTTTAAAATTACAACCTTTAGACTAAAGAAAATATAGAAAATAATCACTGCTTTGTAGTGAAGATAAATCAATTGTAGAACAACCTCATCTCATGTACTAAAATTTTTCACTAAATCACAACGCAAAATAGCAATACTGAAAATACTATTGATTTTATCATATTACTAAGTTAACAAAAAAAAAAAAGAAAAAAAAAGCTATTACCGAAACTGGATAATAACTTAAAGCTCTAAAATATCTGGCAATTTTTTTTTTAATACTAAAAACTAGTGTGGCACTTTTAAAGTTAGTAAAGTCTAGTCTTAAAAAATGTAACCCCTATTAAAACAGAGAAAGGAAGACAGTATTTCTCAACTTAGACCTGATGAGCATTGGCAGCATTTCTATATAATTATTTCATATTACAGTACTCAGTATAAAAACAACTTCTATATTTAATGGAACCTGTTGAGAAACACTGATGAAATATAATAGAATGGTAAAGAACAACCCAATAAGTTTAATCAACAAGCCACAACAGGCATCACAAATGAACTTTGAACAGCAGCTAAGAAAACCATAAAAAAAACTCAACCAAATGAAAACCTCAAACAGAAATGTTACAGTAATGATTGTGCGCCAGTTTTTTCATACACACCGGGAAACTAATTTTTTTTTTAAATACAAGAATAGCAGTATGTTATTGTTATGGTAATCTCTTTTTAAACTACTAATCAATAAAAATTTCTCAATAAATTATTCTGTAAAAAAAAATAGCCAAGTGCCCCTTTCCCCTTTAAATGTACACATTTTGGAATTAGTTAGCTATTTGTATTTTGTTTTATTGGGTTTTCAGCTAACAGAGAATTTTCTATAAATTAGGAGGTTCCGTAAACTGAAAATTCATGCACACTGCCTGATTAGATAGTGGCAGTATCTTATTTTAAACAATTAAAATCATATGTCCACTAACTTGTAAAACTTATGAAGGTAAGAAAGCTGAAGTGGCTACAATTGATTTTCTGTTTTGAACAGGATTATCAGCATGGTGTTTAACATGTGACACCTCTAGGCAGTATCACAGAAAATTTGATTTAAAGAAACGTTTTGTTAAATGTTCAAATTAAAAAAAAATTTCATTTTGTTAGAAATTCAAATAAAACATGGACATTAGGTAACAAAAAAAAATAAATAAATTAACTACTGACTTGTAATCAAGTCCTAATTTAAAAACCAAAGAAAAATCAAGAAAGTATCAAATAAAACAAAACCAAAAAGTAACTGGCTTTTTCACCAATTATTTTTCTTTTCTTATAAAAGTGAACATTTAAAGAATGGTTTTAAAAGTTAACACTAACAGTCAAAGACTTGTCACATATCTAAAAAGAAAATAACTCAGTACAATTGTTGATTATATTGTAATAAAAAATACTAATAATTTCAAACTACACAAAACAAACTAAACCAGTGGTAGCAATGTACACACTTAACTTAATATTACATAACACAAATGTTCTTAAATTAAACATGGTCAAAGGCATCTATCTCTCTGCTGAAACATTACGACAAATCAGCGGTTAGTGGAAATTTCTATAACATATTTAAATCTGCAAAGCACTCATTTAAAAAAAATACAGTTTTATTACATACATTTTTCACAGTGAATGTGAGGTAACAGCACTACCATTGGTGACATACTCCACTATTAACAGGCCACTATTGTATTTTATTTTCATCAAAGTAACCACTGTTAAAATGATCTAGCTATACAAATGTTAACATTCATTAAAGTGTAGTATTTACACTTTGCAGTCATTCTATTAAAAAATTGCTAGACCATTTCTTCCAAAAATCTTAGATAATTCAATCATACAAATATTTTAAGAAAAATATAATCTACTTCCACAACATCAGCATAGCTATATGCACTGACAGTATCAAGTAGTGTACATGCAGTCTGTAATACAAAAGTAACATGGTCATTCAACTAAGGGTCAAAAGTAGACACCTTATTTTATGAACTAGCTGACATTAAAACATGACAGTCCATCATTATCACTACTATTGGCTGTTGTGGTCACTGCTGTACATGATATGCTAAAAATAATTATAATACAAATTTCAAAGAAAAGTATTAGATTTGGCCTATTTCTGGAATATTTAGACTAAAACTTAAAAAATAGTTTTGTTCTATAGTTTACAAATTTCACTTGGGGAAAGTTCAGTTTAACTGAAATGGTAGTATTTCCCCCAAAATGAAAATTAAATGACTTCTTGTTAAATCTAAGGATCATAGTTTTACTTGTGCGAAAGATAGCATTGCATTGGTCCTTACATAGGTATTGTTAATCCTAAAATAAAACTTTATTTGAATTTTGTATACATGGTAGTCATATCAACAATTTGCAGAATGGGCCACATTAAATAGCTGGCTACACATTACAATTGATTATATTCCTGGTATATTTAGGAAACAAAAACAAAATGTTCCTTATACAAAGGCAGGCACTAAAGAAACATTCTAAATCTTATAAGAAATTGATTGGTGCCATGTTGTTCACTAATTTAAGATCTAGAAATATGTACATCACATTTTATCATTCTTTTTCGATTTACTAAAGCAAACAAAATGTGATTGCACCATATGTCCTTTGTTTGCTGAGAGACAATAGGGCAAACCTAAACTTTTATAAATATATCATGCTCTATGTATTCTTTAAATAAAATCTTAACTTCAATGTTTAAAAACCAGCAATTTTTTTTTCCAATTCTAAAAATGCATTTATTTAAAATATTTAAAGTTAATCCAAATTTTAACAATCGTAAACCAATGTAACGATAACAATCAAACAAACAGCAAACATATAATATGATAAAATCCAGCTGAGCAGTTTCATGTGGACAAACTGAATGTCCAGAGGAAGGTTGGTTATTTTAATTTTTTTTAAATCATTTTTTTTCCAGTTTACAAAAAAATTATGATAATTTGAAAAATGACAGTTTAAAATGATACACACATACCAGCTATTTGGCAGGCATTCGTCATTATTTATATGATGCAAACAATGAAACCATCAAACAGAATTTTAAAAAAGATCCTATTCTTGGAACAGACAGTTTAAAACAAAATCACAAGTGCTGTGAACTCTCCACTGGCTAAATATTTGAACAGCAGTCACACCACATTGACAAATTATCATTAATTCTGTAAAGCCCAGACAATCACCTAACATGCATCAACTGTATATATATATATTTTTAATATATATATTACATTTGTCTTTTTTAAGATTCCAAAAGAATCAATACTAATTTAAACCAAAAACAAAACCAAGAGAAAACAAACAATAAACTGGAAACAACAAGAGCAAATATTTTACAGAAACTACAAGAATACCTACACTGGTCATTTGGTAATTTAGCCCAAAAATTCCTTGTGGAAATGTAGGCATGAAGAAATAGAAAACAAATCCCACCATAATTTTACTTTCTGCATGAAACCCTCTCAATTATTTATTTACTACTGAGGTCTTTGCAACTATTTTATTTAGGTCAGATTCTGAAAGTCTCAACTTGGTAATAGGCAATTATTTTAAGATATTAAGTGGGGGAAAATACTCTAATAAGAATAAATACACAAGCCAAGCTTAATGGAAGCTCTTTTTGAAAGTTTTCCTTGCAAAATTAGTTTTAATATATTATAATAGGTTTTTTAAAAGGTATGCAATGTGGATGTGGTAAGTAGATCAATATCTGAAAAGTTTAAAGATAACTTTTTTTTTTAGATTGTTAAAATTTCAGGAAAATTATTTATGAATATATATTTGTGGTAGGGACTACTGAGTAATATGTAAGTTATAAGCTGGCTTATAGATACTCAACTTGTAGTCTTTATTATTGCTCATGCTGAATCAAGCCCAAGGATAATACAAAAGGGTATTAGAAATGAGATGAGTGAGGAGTAACTGTCATTTGATTGTGCTGGCTGGTGTTTTAGCATGCATTAAAAAAATTCTCTAAATAGATAATTATTTTGATGACCAAATACATTATTATGTACATAATTTTCAAAGATTTTTTAAAATGTGGATGCATTTAAAGAATTAACTTTTGTGTTAGGCTATACTGTCCACAAATTCACAGACAATGAAAACTTAAACAAAAAGGTCCTATTGGCTGGCTGTCTTTCAAATCTTTAGTTCTAAGTAGATTGAGCATTGACCTAACCATCCATAAACCAGACACTTTTTCAGATCCCCACAATGAACAAGATAACATTAACTGAAAGCTGCACAAAACGTTGCCTTGTACTCTCGCACCTCCTGTCTCAATGTGAAGAGAGCACTAGCTCTGATAGGGATTGTTGTATGTTGATTTTTGTGCCTTCTTTGATAGCACAGTTCTTGACAGCTCATTACTGCCATACTATCACATATATCACATCATGTTTCGCAATGCCTCACCGCTATTGCAGTGGCAATATTGTCAGTTAATAGAATTAGCCCTCAGCCTTGCCATTAACACTGGTAGCCATGAAAGACCCCAGAGCTGCTTCTTAATCTTAATATACTACATGAGGTTTCCAGCTGTTTGGCAAGGCAAAGGAGAGGGACGGAAGAGAGTCACAGGAAGCGCCGAGCTTCTTTCACAGCCAGCCCTTCTGCTTCCATCCTCCAAGACGGCGGCGTACAATCCAAGAAATCACACATACAGGACCACACATACGGCCAACAAAAAGCAGAGATGCATCACAAAATAGTAGTTCAGCCATTGAGCTGGCAAAAAATCACAGAAGCTCATATTGTCGTAGGTGCATTCGCTGGATGATATCTCTACAGTCGTCAAACACTCGACGGATATTTTCTGTGTCAACCGCACATGTAAAATGAGGGTAGCAATAATGCCGCCCATCACCACTTGCTGTGCTAATTCTCTGTTAGATAAAACAAATTTTCACTTATTTAAACTTGAAAGTGCATTCAAAAAGTAATTTCTAAATGCCTTAAATCTCTTACATACTCACCAAAAACTCATCCCTAATAAAGTACTTTGCTCTTACTACCTCTGGATCATCCCCAGGTTCTGTAGCAGCTGAAAGTCGAAATATACACTGAATAAAACATCAACTACAAAAAGTAAAGCTTGCAAAAAAAAAAATAAAGCTCTAAGCCCTTAATTTTTCTTATAGTAAAAATAATAACCACAAAGAAAAAAAAATTAAATTGAAACAATGTTGGCAATATTTCAATAAATGAATTGTGTTAGTTGAATGGGTAACTGCAGATTTGTAAGTTTAATTATTTGTTTATATTATCCTAATATTCATAACACTTCTTTTGAAGTAATTTTACTTTAAAATGAATTATTTTCAATTCTTACCATCAGGTGGCACCTGATATCTGGTATATTCAGGAAAATAATCTTCTATCTTTGATTTGCCAGCTTTAACTTTTTCTGCTAAAAGATCTTGTTTGTTTAAGAACAAAATCACTGATATTGTTCTCAGCCACCTAAGAATTAAATTTTTAACAAAAAAATAAACATTATAAACTATAGTTAGAATATTAAACTTACTTGAGTCTATTATCCTTCCTTAAACCTAATTAAAATTACCTATTGTTCCAAATACTTTTAAAAAGATCTAAGGATTCTCGCAGCCGATTTTGAGTAGCGTCTTCTCGTAAAACCATGTTGTAGCCACTGCAGGCTGTGACAAAAATGATAGCAGTCACATCATTGAAACATTGGATCCATTTGCGTCTTTCATCTCTCTGTCCTCCTACATCAAACATGCTAAGAAATAAAGAAAACATAAACCACTAAAATTCGATTTTTAAAATTCTTACTAATAGCATATTCAAATACTAATTAAAACAAACAGTAAAACAGGATATTCATTTTACGAAAAGACTTTCACTTGAAAAGAGAAATTGCTTATACTATAAGCGTTTTTTAAACTAAATTTAAATTGCCTTTCAGAATTAGAAGTATTAAAATGCAACAGGTCGAAAAAAAAAAAAAACAGCAAGAGGACTTCATTACAAAAGAGTATAAGTAAGGTTTAAAAGAAAAGTTTGCAAAGTATTTATCAAAACTCTGTAAAAATTAGAGAAATTGATATTCCAACCTGGAACATTTAAAACAAGTGGGAGTGATCTCCCCTTAACTTTTATATTATTTTACAAAGAAACTTCTCGAAATCTTTACAACTGATTGTTCATCCATGCTACTTAATGACCCTTATCTAACTCATTTCTGAAAGGGAGGAAGAAAATCTCCTTGGACAGGATTAATTTATCATTTCAATTTACTTCAGTGAAGAAAATTGCTTTGAGATATGAGCAACTTAGACTTACGAGCAATTTTACAGAATGGAATTAAACTTGTATCACAAAGTACCACTTTATATAAAATTTTGTCAACCTGACAGATAGAATTATAAAACTCAGTTTTTCTGGCTCCAGAATGTTGTTAAACTACAAAATTTGTTAAAATCTCAATCTAGAATTTTGCATGATTACAATACATCTTTTTATATTCTGTATAGGATAAATAGGAGAAAGTATTAAGGTGTAATCTGCTAAAACTCATTTAAATTTTGTGCATGATTACAATACTTCCGCTAAACACTGTAAAAAAAGAAAGTAATTTTTATTCTTCCTCTAAGTTAAATGGTGGAATCAAAGATAAAATATTAAAACTGGTTAATAGTACAATTTTTTTTGTATCATTTGTTCCTACAGATTATTTGAATAACTAAATTTAAAATTTATTTTAACTACCTATATCTAATGTCTGCATAAAAAAAAAATCATATTACTAGGTGTTTTATTAAAAAAATAAATTTGGTGAATTAACACAGAAACAAGAATTTTTAAACTATAGTTTTGATAGCACAGTTGAACTTTTCTTTTAAAGTTGAAATTAATTAAAAAGATTGTTACAACCTTCAGAAAACCACACCTTAAAGGACACATTAGGGAGTTTAAAAAATGTACAAGCTTGCTACTATGCAGCTATCAACAGAAATGAAAAACTCCATTAATTATTTCTAATTTTGAAACTAATGCTTTCTTTTCAGAGCCTTTACTACTCCCCAGTTGAAGAGAAAATGTTTTTACAATTCTTTGTTATATGACCTTCAAATAAGCTGAAAACTTAAAATTAAGTTTTAAAACTAGCACTATATGTTTGTTAGTATGATATCACATTATACAAATCAATTATTAGGTTTTAAAAATTTAATGCATTGCTCTGAATTATTTTAGTCTTTCTAAATGAGAATAAACACATAAATCCTCAACAAATAACAATTTAATAGATTAACTTTTGCTCACATTCCTTCAGGTACAAAAAAGGAAAATACATTTTCTAAAAAAAAAAATTTCTAACTAAAGAATGTATATTAAATAGATCTATACAAGAATTAGAAAACTACTCACTGAAAATTGACTTTATCAACACTGAATTTAGTTTCAAATATCCCTGATGTTAACACACGACACCTGAGTATATCTTGCTCTGATGGTGTATACTCTGGTTGTCTGATGATGTGAACTCTGTCTAAAAAACTGAGGATACCACAAAGCCAAATATTTTAAAATAAATACATGTCATTATAAAATACATGATAGTAATAAAACCACATTCACTCAAGATAAGCTAAAAGAGATCTAACACATCATAGTTAATCCCCACCTTCATGTGAAATCTTTGACTTTTAAGCTAATTATTTGATTGGTTTTTAATTAGACTAAAAAAACAACCATTGATGAAAGCATCAACTAGCAGTTAATAATAGTTAAAAACTATGACATAAGCAAAGCTAGTAAAATGAAAATTTATTTTTATCATTATTTATTTCTTGACCTATATAGGCTACTTGGCTAGCAAATAGAGAACATTTATATCAGCTGGAAAGGAAACCAAAAAATTAACAAACAGCCATTCTAAATTTCCGCCTTTCACTATATCTTAGTCAATTTAAAAAACAAGTGTAATTAACCTTAGTAAGATTTCATACAAAACTAACATTAACAAGATTAACTTTGAGTGCATCATTTACTAAAGCTAAAGGTGTTGTAATACATCTTCAGCTTCAAGACATTTGATAAAGACATAAAAAGAAAAATCTCCAAAGCCAAAGCATTAGTTCTATAAAAGCTTTTAGTTTTGAAACCAATTTATAGTGCCCCATCTATTCAATATCACCACTCTTTAACCCCTGAGTGAGGCTACTTTTGTTCTTGTTTTATACATTCTCTAAGAGGTGGAAACTTTTTTCATTACTTAAAATGTTTCAAATGTTTACAAAATATTTGAAGAAAAAAAACTATGTAAGCAGCTAGCTGCACAGAATTAAATTCACTTGAAATTGCTTTTAATTCTTCAGCTCTGAAAATCTATTATGCCATTTATTGATGTGGTATTTCATTTGAAATATAGAAACACAACAATGTTTTCTGCTTAATGGAACCAACAAGTATTAATGGAATACATTAAGCCAGTATTTGGCAACATACTGCTGTTTTCACTCAAAAAAATTTTTATCTATAAATTCCTTAATTTGTTTAACTTTGAAGAACGTAGATATTCTTGGCATTTAAGTGGAATCAGCAGCTGTAACTGGCTTACACAACCCCACTAACTAGGACACTAGGGCACCAGATAATCAATATGAAATGGTCCAACCGTACATAATTGTGGGTCAGTACGACCCTACTTTTTGTGTGGAAGCACACTGCTTCGTTTTCAATCAATGCCTTACTAATACAGTTATTACCCTACCGGTCCATGAATCCATGTCAGCGAGGCTGTTTACTATAAAGCCTACAAGTCCACGTGTGTGGCCAGAAGAAGGAGGGCATATCGACGCCAATTCTAGGCGTGTTAAAGCTCTAAACCATGCAATACGCTTATGTTGTTTCAGGTCTACTATCATCTTCAACTTAATCATTGGTAATTTATTCTCTCTTGTTTTTCCTCTTCATTTGAACACTCAACTTTAGCAGACATTTTTAATTATAAGTACGTTTAACGCATATTCAGAGGCAGCTTGGTTAGTAACCAAAGAGAAAAAAAAACCCACCCTACTGTCCCTTCCCATTACACCGTATCATTCCCGACAATCAATATCTATGAATTACCTTAACTAAAAATAGCACCGAGAAGCTAGGAGAGAAAAAAGTACTAGAGGTAAGGGTAGGAATACAAGAGCTGCGGTAAGGTAAACGAGAAGACCCGGTATGCTACACAGCAGATGCCAGTCAAATAGATTAGGCACTGTTTACTACTAAGTGCATTCAATCCCCCAATTGACCAACTCATAGACACGATTGGGTAATGCTATTAAAAAGAACAAACAAGCAAATGAGCTGGTGTCCTGTAAACGTGACAGTAGTAGATCAACAACAGAGACACGTTCAACTTACTGAAAGTTGTGAAAGGATAAGCGATATATTAAGCAGGGTGTCTAATAAATACCAGTTAACAAGATACTATATTTAGAACAACGTGTTCGCTTAATAGGCAATCCCTTATTCGACTACATATTTTAGTAGAAAATCAACTAAGTCAGTACAAACGTATATTAAAATATTTTGATTTAGTAAGAAGACATTAGACACATTGCGTTAGGCACGCGTATTTCTCAGCAAAAAAAGAAAAAGAGAAATAAAGTGACCCAGTATGTTAGGTTAGGTATCTGTCTTGCGATTAAACTTCGTACTAGGAGTAACCATTAGCAATTTTTTTTTAAAAAAGACATACTGTTATACAATGGTTTAATAAGTCTAATGAACATTCGCTGCTCTGAAAACCTTCGTATACCGCCTATCTCTTATAAATAAGTTGCACTCTATTGCAAGTCTGCGTACCCCAACTTTCTTTTTCAGTATCAAGAGCATTTTTAGAAAATACATGGTAAATAAGACCAATTTTAATAATCACAAAACTTTTCAGCACAATGATTACTCATACTACGTTGTTTATTTTTAATTAAAGAAATCGACTAATTGCGATTTGAATCTAGATCCTTGTAGAATGTAAAAACAACAGCGAAATTCAGAACGTAAGGCGACTATCTCAAATCGGAATATTTCATGCTGTGACGTGGTCGTGTGCTATTAGGCATACTCTACTGCAGGGGTCTCCAAACTACGGCCCGCGGGCCGGATGCGGCCCTCGAAGTCCTCTCATCCGGCCCGCGGCGATCTTTTTGTCCAAGGGAAAATCATTTGTTGGTGATAGCTGAGGAACTTTGCCCAGAAAAATCAAAGACATGCCTGGAAGAAACTGGCCCCCGAACTGAAATTTGATAGTTAATGCGGCCCTCGGGCTGAAAAGTTTGGAGACCCCTGCTCTACTGAAATCTAAACCAACGTGAACTCACGGTGACCCCTTTAACGTGTTTCCCCCCCCCCCCCCTCTCACAGCGATTTTTAGAATTTGCTTATTTGTTAATATTTTTTTTGTTTAAATCTAGAAAGAAAGATTTAAAAAAAAAAAACACCCGTTAGTGATCAAGGTGGACTAGTTGTTCAGTTTAAAACTTTTCTCGCACATCTAAAACACATAAATGGCATAATCCTAATTCCGTTACCTGGGTGCTGAAATCGATCGTAAAATTACGGACAAAAGCAGCTCTACGTAATTTTGAAATTTTCAATCGACCTTTGAACCTTTCTATAGCAAGACAACACGAGAACCCCTAAAACCAAAACAATTTTAAGTTTCTGAAGAAACATGTCCGTACATGTACCTAAGCTTAAAGACATGAAATCACATTTGAATTCGCTAATAAATACCAAACTCCGCCAGTCTGAGAATGAAAGAAGGAACTGGTTTTTGCCAATATCTCTTGTATAGATCCCGATCTGTCTATTGAATGCCTTCATTGAAGCTTCAACTCCAGTGTAACATAAAAGAAGTGTAATGTTACCATTATACGCATAACAAACATTGGTTGGCGATAGAAATCACCTATTCTCAAACCTTCCTATACGGCCACAGTTTAATGTCACAAGACATTCATTGATTATTCGAAACTAAAGTACAATTGCATTCCCTGTTGGTGAACCGTTTGAGAATCAGTGACTACTATTACCTTGAAAATAGCTTGAATTCTTTGGTACTGTACGTTCAAGCTGAATCTCCCCACCCCACCTCTAGCACTAAAGTAACAGGGTTGTTTTTGTGTATAATAGCAGACTAACGGTAAAACCGGCCAGCCACGAAGAAAAGGCGTGCTAGAAGCAATACACGAGTGGAAGAGATCCAGATTCAATCACAAGTTTTACTCATAAAGTATATTTGCCAGTTAAGCGTTGCTAGAATTATACAAACACTTGAAATCTGTGTCAATCTGTTTCTAATTTTTAACCAACAGAAAACGTGAACCTGCATGACTAACCTAATATATACACTGAAAAAATTTTCAATATTTTAATTTCAGGACAATTATGCATACAATTAAGTGTTATTGAGAGACGGTATGACTATTTTTAACAGTCTATGTACATTAAAAACATACAACCATATCCCATTGTCCAACCCCCCCCCCCCCCAAATGAGTTTAAAATTTCGGTTTAAATTCTGGAATGGTAAAAGATAAAGACAACCGAGCAAATGTGTTGATATCTAACGCTCAACATTAATATCATATATTTATTTTATCCAAACTTTTTGATGAATGGGCGATGTAGCTTTTAAAATTTTTCTTCTTATACAGCAGGGCCTTATTGTAGCATTCGAGGCTTAAAATGGTGTGGGAGGCAAGAGAGACACTCGGTAATGTGCTAAGAATACGCTAGATAAGGAATTTGTCAATGTATTTCTGTATTCATGTAACAATGTAGAAGAATTTTAGAAAAATAAGCACAAACGTTCAATTACTAGCCGCTACATAAAAGTAGTTAAACGATATGGAAACTAAATGTTAACAAAAACTAAAATATGGAAACTAAAGGCTTCAAAATTTCAATCAATTATAAAAGCTATTTGGTCTTGCAAACAAAACGATGATCAAATGTAATATTTTTCGGCCGATTGAGCTAGCAAATGACTAAGAGATAAAACCTAAAAATAGACACGGTAAGCCACTAATCACTCGGAACATTTCTAGAATAAACGCCCATACACTAGTCAGATGACCTTGAACCAATGACCAGTGTAAACTAGACGCGGTTGGCTAGAAGTAATTAAAATTAATGTCATAAGCATTGGCTGTCTCTCTCTTTCCCCCCCCCCCCCCCAACATTACTAACAAACATCAAATGTTACCCTTGCACACACTAAGAACTGAATTACAAGCGCGCATGGAAGTGTGTGTGTGTGTGGGGGGGAGGGGGGATCTAAGTGAAAGACGAAAGAAAACGACATCTATCAGCATTTAGTGGGGGGGGGGGGAATTATTTGGAAAACTGTAGTTACGGCGGCATATTCTTAGCGAAAGGCTTTAGCGAGAGACTAAAAGCTTTAAATAGGAGTAAAATGTTGCTGAGCAAAAATTTGCATCACTACACGTACTTGAAAACGGGGTAAATGAACATCCAGTGGCTGGCATTCAGTCTAT